TGGCGAAACTGCAGGATCGAGCGCTGGGGCGAGACTGTCTGCAGCTCGCCACGCGGAGCCCCTTATGTGCACGCGTGGGCGTAGACTGGAATAATCGGCATAGAAGGTTCGGCGTGTAGAATATTCTGACCTCGAACAAACAACACGGTTCTCGAATTTACCAGAACATTACGTTAGATGTCAACAAAAAGGCGTCCCCGCAGCCAGGAATCGAACCCTGGCTATCTGCGTGGAAGGCACGTGCGATAACCGTTAGGCCACGAGCGCGCTGCCTGCTCGGTCAGCTGCGCTCGCGGCAATTTTTGCTATAACTTCGCTTTGAACCGAAAAGCAGAACTACCAAGGCTTTGCCATTCCCACAAAGTGGATGCTGCTCATGTCTATGAGCCTTTCTGGTAAAATGAACAGCTGTGCCTCGACCTGCGTCACGATGATCAGGCGTCAGCGGCCGACACGCTCCAAGTAAGAGTCCAAAAACATGTGGCCAGTACCTTGTTTCACCGAGTTGAATGATGTACATTTAAATGCAACACAATTTAAACTGTTGGTAAAACGGGCACTCATACCTTTATTGGGAATTTGTTGATCCTAATTCTTTTCCAAATAAATAAACTAAAGAAAAAGAAAAAAAAATTAGTGGATCATGCTAGGCTTTTGGGTTAAAAACACATCTATGTGTCAAATAAAGTCAACGCATCAAAAGCAGAGAAAAACCAAACTATAAAATGCCTTCGCTTTTCAAACCTTCCCCTGCCCTGATGAGCGGCACTTATCTCAACTTCTATCGGAAGTCTACGAAACCTGCTGATGTTAGAAAAGTAAAGGCACATAGGTCACAAAATGACAACATATTATAACCTTGGAAGAGCCAGGCTTAGCAACGGCATTGAAAGGAATATTGAAACGTACACCCTCATTTCACGTAGCTCCCGACGTCAATAGTGACATACGCAATAGTTTGGTTTACGCCAACAGGCACCTTGGCAATTGGCCCAATAAAAGAGATGGCTTTCCCAAAGGACAAACGAGAAGGAGCCAACAGAAATACCGCACTGAAAGACGCAAAACCTCCCAAGGCCTTCAAACGAAAAACCAAAAAGGGCCACATCGAACTGCCCCCCCACAAAGGTCGCCCACGAACGCACGCATAACAAACAACCTCCCCCGCACCAAAACAACAAAGGAAGCCCCACCTCCGCAAACAAGTCGACTGACATTTTTGCTACCCCTGTGCGTTCTAGCGTGCAGAGCGGGGTGTTTTCCATTGACACTTGGCTGCAGCGACAGTTTCCGTGCTCTGCTACGCCTGCCCGCTCCCCCCCTTTTCAGGTGTCAGGCCTTCCCCTCCCCCAGTTTCCCAACGGTGGATTCGGTCACCCGTGCCTGCGACCGGCACCGGGACGCTTCTGCCTAAGCTAGGCAGTCCACATTCCGGCGCTTGAGTGCGTCCACTGCACGGTAACCTCTTCGACATCGCTCTCCAATGTCAAAGCGAAACATACCGCACAATCTTAGGCTAAGAACGACACCTATGATGATGCCTGAACATGCTATGAGCACCTGACGTGGGAGGTTTCATGTGTGGGGAGTTTTAGCAGTTCATTCCGACACCGATTCTCAATACTCTGCCAAAGCCTTTGCGCATGCGTCTTATTGTTGTTGGGCATCATCGCTGGAGGTATTGGAGAAATCTACTAAAACACCTCATTTCTTGCATTTTATGTCTTACAAAATTCGGGAGGTAAAAGGCAAGATTCTCAAGTCGGAATATAGCAAAGAATTGGGTATTTCACATGGTTTTTCAAAATGGAGGTAGGTTGTCCTGCATATTTGGTACATTAACAAAAACATGCCCTTACTGAACTCAATATAGATATAGTTTATGGAACCAAGCAACCAAGCACATTCAATGTTTTGAGGGGATGAGGGTTTTCAACCTTTTTTCTTTTTTTTCTATTTTACTCTGGCTGAAATTCGGCAGGCAGATGTACTTCCCTTGTAATTACAAATCTATAAAAAGGGTTAAGCTATCCTTGCTTATATAAAAGATATGGGAAATACCCCACGCCAATGATGTCATTTCTCAGGACTGATTACGTCAATTCCCCTCCAAATAATTTTGATTTAAATACATGCAAAGATTCCCGAGGGTTCACCATACATCCCAGTCAATACGACGCCACCAAACATGAATTCCCACTTGACAACCAAACGAGTCGCTAGTCTGAAAATGGAAGACGACGATCGCCACTGTACAGGTCCCGCTAAGTGGTGCGGCCTGGTTCGTTATGACGATCTTCACCGCTTTGCGCAAAGCAGACTTACCAGCCCCCTAGCCAAGGAGGGATCCCCAGACGACTATGGACACTAACAGGACGAGAACAATTCTGAATGCCCGACCTCGAGCACATGCTCGCTGCCTTCCGCTGCGCACACACGCTCGAGGCTCCCAAGACTTCGTGAAGTGTTAGCTTTCACTGAAACGGGACAAGTGAAGGGCCTTCCTGCCATCCTCACTCTGCCAGTGACCACAGATGCCTCACCAACCGAGTCAAATTTGCAGTTCCACTGCTCCAAAATTTCTCTTTGTTTTCTAGCCCGCTAGGAAACCAAGCCGTCTGCTGGGATGCCCATAAAGCTATAAAACTGTGTATGCACACCCTCATTCCCTTCAAGCCCACCCCTCCAGCACTTATCTCCTATCAGAAACAAGATATCAGAAACAAGAGGGGGGGAGGGCGGGGGGTCGTTCTTGCATTCACTGTGGTTGGCTCACCCAACAATCTATTAGCACAAGCTCCTCTTTTTTTTTATATTCTATTTTCTTGTCAGAAAAGTCTGGATTGAGGGGGCCAGTTTGTTGGCAGAAGGCTTAAAGGGGCTTTGCAATCATATTTAATCTTCTACCCTTTTTGCGGTTTCCACATCTCTTGGGGTTCGGGCAAGCCAGCAAGCACGGAGAGAGTAACTAAATAACAGTGCATCATATTTCAACCGGACGACGCCGCGGAAATTTCCACCACCTATGCGGGCGAACCACGGTGCCAGAAGCGGGCGATATGTGACGACATCGTGAGGTTTTTGGTCCTGGCCTTACTACTGGTCAAAGCCACTAAAAGCTTTTCTTTTGGTCAAAATATAAATAAGTGTTGCGAACCATTTCAATTATTTATGAAAGTAGTTCTTGTTCAGTATTTTAGATCAGAAAAGAAACAAATGCAGTTTATAAAGTACTAAAACAAGAAATGACCCGTCGACATACCCCCGCCACCAAGCGGTGGAAAAGGCAGTGCAAGCTAGAAAGGAGTAGTGGGATCAGGCGCCGACGAGCAGCGAGCGTACAAGGGTCCCAGATGTACGCGGCAGCACTGCGGTCGTATAGGCTCGAGGATCTGACCGGTTCCGAGCATTCCGAAGGCCTTCTGAGAGCACATTTGGCTTGCAGTTTGGCCGTTTGGCGGTATGGCAGCGCTAAGTGGCTCCCGTTCTGAACTGATCTTTACCCTGTGTTTGCTGTCATTTGTGGCAAATGAAGTGTCATGCCGAATTAGTGTTTAGTCGCACAGCAAATGCAATGTGAGCCGCCCTGGCCGCCCGCTTCATCCAGCCTATCCAGCACATGCTTTAGTGGTGCCCTCTCACGCCGTCGACACGAAGTGCGGCAGCCGTGAGCGCTCACTGAGCTCACCACCCCTCCTCTAGTTCACAGCCACTCAAGCCAGGACCAAAGACGTCAAGAAGAGGGTTATTTTTTGCTGGTTTTTGCGATTTTAATTTACTTATAACTTTTAAAATAAAGCTAAATTGGGGAAAAGAAAAGTTTCATTAAGTTGCTACGTTCAGTGCGCCCAGGTTCGGTGCAAATTAAGAACCAGTAAAAAAAGTCGTTGCAGGGCTCCTTTAAGCGCCGTTCCCACACTTGCAGCCAAGTAGGACCGACGCAGACAAGACCTGTTTTAAGCCTCTTGCGATGGTGTAGAACCGGATGAACTGCTGAGGAGCAGGTCCTATGCCGTTGCAAGAGGCTTAAAAACTAGTCTTGTCTCTCTTGGTCCTACTCGGATGCAGGTGTGTGAACGGCGCTTTACCGCCCCACCCAAAAACACGACCAGAGGCGAAGAAGAGAGCTGCACTGTCTGGATTTCACCGTTACCATGTGCCAGAAATCAGTCTGCAGCTGTGCCAGAATTACTACTGCATGATTGTCCTTAATGCAAGAGCCGCAAACAAGGTCGGCCCCAAAATCGTGAAATGAGGCTTCGATCGAATCATCTGCGGTTGCCGACACAATCTCTCGATAAATTGGCCACGCTTCTGATACGGCAAAACACAGTCCATGTCGGGCCAGCTCTTAAGAATTGAGCAAAAAGCCTAAACAAAAGTTACTTGAGGCGAGAAAATTTGATATAAAATGGTGAAATTACGGTCCACACGCATGTACGCTACCCTCGTCAATGCTTTCTTGCCTGTTGTCTCGGGTAACGTCACTAGTCAATTTCTTCAGAGCTAGCTGGCCGTGTCTCTTCTGCATTCATACCAATGCAAGCCTCGAGTGACCTTCCTCACAACATAGTTTCACTTTTAAATTCACTGCATTTCGAACAGCAGTTAAGCGAAGCTATGCTCACAACTGCTTCATGGTCATATTTATTCTGCTGTGTTTTACTGCATTCTTTTGCTTTTTTGTTTGAATTTTCTTTCCTACATCTTTTGTGTATGATTTCACTCAGATTCTTGCAGTTTTGCTAAGTATTCTCTACTATGGGCGTTATACCATTTTTAATACCCTCGCTGACAGGGGTCTTGAAGGTTAAGCAGAATAACTGCAGAGGCTTAAGCTGTACGTCTTCAAACATTTTCCGACTTTCACCACGTCCAGTGCAACTTCTGCGATGAGTTACACGAGGCAATGATAGGTACACACGCTGGACACCTAACAAACAAATAACAGCACACGCAGCCCGTTGAAATGACAATGTGAATAACTGCTGATTACTCACCAATTTAATTGCAACATGTTCATTATTGTACAGGTTCTTTCCTGAAAGAAGGAAACAGCACAAATTAGACCGAGCAACGGAGCATGAAACACCGCTAAACAATCACCATCGTACGCGCTCAAAAACTCTTGCATGACAACATCATACGCTTCAGCATGTCTCGTGAAGCTTGCAGATGGCCGACCATCAAAGTTATTTTAAGCTCCAACCCAAATCACAGGAAATGCTTTTCTGTCCTCCAAAAATGTCAGAACAGTCCGCAGCAGAGCAAGACAATCGCCATGGCTCCCCGACAGCATGTCAATAGGTCAAAAAGTCACACTTCAAAATAGTAGCGGCTCTAGCGCTGCCCACGGGTAGACCTCGTTAAAAATCAAAATCCCCGCAAGAACTCCACACGAATAGATAAATGGAACCTACATAATTAAACCAAGGAACTGACAGAACAATAACCAAGTTTTAACAGTTCCGATTTTAACACTTTTTTTTTTTTTTTTTTTCCTGCCTGCACAATTTGGAAATGAAAACACAAACCCTTCTGAAAGCATGCCTTGCCAAATATTTTTAGGGGCATTTCTGTTTACAATTTTCTTCAGCACTCCTTTCAGTGCTTAGGTATTTGTTCCTATAAACTATTTGTTTTTCTTAACAGCAACCGTACACAAACAAAGTTGCCAGAATTACCGTAAAATACCGGGCAAGCGCCCACTCAAACTTCAGAAATAATCACAAAAAATGGGGGATGGGCGCTTGTCCGGTCATCAATTTTACATATAAATGTACTGCGCGTATTTTCTCAGATCTTACAAATTTGGGGATGGACGCTTAATGTGGAATGGGCGGATGCACGGTATTCTACGGTAATCCACTACAAAAACACACTCCGTGGCGCTTAACCAAACCAAGTGAGAAGTCAACAGTCGCCAACGTTCCGAGCTAAACATTGGAGCAAAAAATAAGACGTAACATAGAACGCACCACTTGTTATCCTTTGTTTGTGACTTTTATTTTAAAGCTGCACTACAAGACCTTTTTAAGTTAGACCTACGGAACAGAAGCCCTCGACTGACACAATGCTGCCTCCATTTCCAAAATTTTGTACTTGAACATCTGCTGGCGTCTACAAAGTTACATTTCTGAATCTTCCGAGTCCTCCGGGTACTTCTCTGGTTATCATACTCCCTTGCACTAAGAGTCGGACCGGACGGCAGCTGATGCTATAATCTGATGGAGCCTATCAAGCGGTGCCAAAAGTGCTTAGTCATGGGCACGGCATTTCTGCAGCTACTATCAGTGATTGCAAACCTGCAAAGACAATGAGCGCCGTGACAACACACTTGAAACACTGCACGATTGGCCCCGGCTCCATCGGACTTAAAGTGAAAGGGAGGAAAGAGTCCCTAAATTCCTCAACCGATCCAGACAAACACAAACGTCCAGACCGTTTGCTAAAAGAAGACAAGGACGGTGTGCCGCTGGAGATGCGAGTGTTGCGGAATGAGCTCCGCAATGAGCTCCTCCTGTTCCAACTCTGTTCCGGGAAATTATGGTGTCCCGTAATTCCGTTCCTTTCGACTCTTGGGACAACGGAGACGCTGGACCCATACCCCCTCCTGGGATGGCTAAACCATTCGTTCCATTCCTATTCCTTTACTACACTCTTATTCACCATAATTGAAAAAAACAAAAAACAAAAAAAAACTAGACTTTAAAGGCTAATTTGCCAATTAATTAGATAACACAGTTTCAAGAGCCACTTTGATTATGCGCAATCACGTTGCGATAGCAGGCCATGGGCCCTAGCTGGAGGTCAACACAATCCGCTTCTCAAGCGAGCCCATTCCATTCCCACACTATTTCGGACAAAAGGCATCCGATTCCATTTCCGTTCTGTTCCGGGGTCGGGAAAGTGTGGAACGATTTAACACTATCGGAGAGGGTGCCCTTCCCATGATACCTTAAAGAATAGGGTTAAATGGTGACACACACACACAACGCTTTTACATTTGTATCATTTGTGACTTGCTAAGATGGAAATACCTGTACGACAAAGAACACTGATCTAATCTCGTAACCACCAAGATTCTTTATCTTTTTTTTTTTATCTACAAAAAAGATTTTAAAAAATATTGTGCAATGACTATTGTGTTATTTTATGTTTCGGCTTCATTTCCTGGCAATTCCTCAACACTTCCAAGCTGACCGAAGTTTCCTAACGAGTTCAAACTCTCTCGGGTCAGCTCCCCAAACAAGCCACAGCGACGTGACACAATTTCGGCGCACAGGTTATCAAATCTTCCACCCGCCCACAAAAAAAACAACATATATATATACATAAAAATAAAAAGGGGGCTATTAGTTTCAAGGGCAATGCCAGACGTAGGTGAGGGATAGCGCAGAGGGGCGGGTCCCCGCTAAGAGGCCCGGTGCACCCCCCCACTTCCTCTATCTGTCACGCAACCGCCCCAATGTTTTCTACCCCACTTCCATAGCAACAAACCCGGCACCCAGGAATCAATAACCGAGTGACCGCTTCACAACTGCGAAGATGGCACAGCTGGGGAGAGGGGGAGGCTAGTCAAACAGTGTGCACCGGCGGAAACTCAAAAGAGAACACGGGGCGCGTCCGGCGTGCAAGAACCTGACGTGATGTAACGCTAACGGCTGCGACCCTTCGCTTGCGCGACGACTTCCTGGCCTGCAAAGAAAAATTGGTGTTTTCTCTCTTCTTTTGCGCTCCAAGTGTCCTTTCTATGCCCGCTTGTTTTCGCACACCTCTTTGCGAGGTCTTCCTTTTCGTCTTGAAGGTGTGTGGCGAGGAACAGTCTCAACAAACTTGAGAGCATGGAGTGCTCTTTAACAGAGCCCCCTAACCCCAGTGATTTGTCCATCTATCCATTCATTTTCCCGCTAAATTCAGCGGGGAAATTGACATCACGTGATGACACAGTCGCACAAGCACCCCACTTCATGCCACGACGCCATTCTACATCTTAAAAACCATCCAGCCAATCTGGCTATGCTTAGTCCCAATCTTCCTCCACTGCCTCACCTAATTAATTAGTTCTAATTCATCCTATTAACTGTACTTCAAAAACATAAACCCTATATACTGGTGGCAACTAAACAAGGTAGTTGAAATTAAGAAAAAAACCTACAGAGCAGTTCATATAAAGTTCCTTGCAAAATTATGCTCGCTAAATATAGCATCTTAAAAAGATACGGCCAGAATATCACAGTCTATCATAAATATTAGGGGCAGTTTTAATTCGAAACTTCTACTGCAAAGTAGAGTTGTTACAGTCGCACTCACCAAATTCTCCCCCTTTTTCTTTTCAACAAACAGACGTGTTTAGCATACCCAGCTTTGGGGGAGTGCTTTCCTTTCAGAACGCACAAGTGCGCTGGGGCGAGGTGAGGTAAGCAAAATCGCTATGCTTATTTCGCGGCTGATGCTTCACTATGGTATACAAGAGCGTGGTGGGAAGCGCACTCAACAAAGCTAACCTACCCACCATGTCAGACTGCAAACACGACGACTCGATGTTGCAAAAATTCCGAGTACTGCCAGTGTTTGACCCAATGCTTTTTGCAGCGATAACCGAAAGTTTCGGAAATTTGCACAATACTACCATGAGGATCCGGATGAGTAGTGGGGCACGTGTATTACATGTTCACTATTAATAAAGTTCAATCAAGCTCTGGCGCAATGTTGGAGCAGATTCCTCACATTTCTGGCTAAACATAGCAGGAGGTGCAGGGTAAGCCCTTTAGCACAGTTTGCCACAAATGGCTCAGCAATCGCATCACTGCGATTTTCCCGCCACATTTAAAGGGGCACGTGACATGACATCCTGTGACGTGAGGACAGAGACATGGTGTCACAGTATCACGTCATGGTGGCACGTTACACCGTGACTTCTCCCCCTAAACTCAGCAGGGAAATTAATAAACAATATGCGCTTTTTACTCCCTCAAATGTCTGCTTAGCGTCTTCTACACAAATTTAAACAATTGCTCAACTACTGCATTCCACACATTCTATTAAGACCGATAGAATTATTGATAAAGAATGAACCGTGCCTTTAGCTCACACTTCCCAACAAGAAGGCTTCCCGTGAGAAACACAACCTCGCATAATTTCCCATACGATTTAATTTTGCTTAGTCATACAATCTAGCCTCTTCGAGCTCTTTAACATATTTATTCAATCAATATTGCGGCTTTCAGTTAAAAATTCTTAGCAGGAAAATGTTCCACCCTCCCCTATTTTTCTGGCTGAAATGTGCGTGCCCCCACCCAAAACTTAAAACAACAATCAGCCGTAACATCCCCAGACAACGACTCCTGCCAATGAACAATGTAGCAGAAGACATTCTGAAACTCGCTCACAACACGAAACGCCTTCCAAGTGGACTCCTGATTAAGACTTCCAACCTCCCAGAAAAAAAAGAAAAAAAAAGAAGGTCAGGTCGCAATAAAGAAAAAAAAAAAAGACAGATGAAAAAGGGCCTTGGCATTGAAGCTCCGGTTCACCCAAACGAAGGTGCACGGCTTCCCTCTAATGCGTCGGCCCCGGAGACAAAAACAAGAAGTCGACAGAAGGATGCCGTCTATTAGAGGCATTTGCAAATGCAGGCCAACTGCTTGCCCCCATCGCACAGCGGCAGCGGTCTCCCGTCCCCACTGGGGCTTCCCTCGATTGTGGGACGAGTGCCTGCCCCCGGGGTCGGTCATCATTCCAACGATTCGACCCCCAAACGAGGTGGAATTGACCGGCAGCACCAGAGGCCGTTCAATTGCGTCAACTGGCACCACGCGTTTGAGGACGGAACGAAAAGCCGAGGACAAACCGCCGTAAACGGGAGAATGAGCCGGTCTCCAAAATGTTTGCACGAGCCCTTGCAAGGTGGCGGGATCTACTTATTTGTTTATAGTGGACAAACTGTCCGAGGGGTGTGTTGAACAGAGCGACAGTGGATGCAAACAGCGCAGTGAGAAATATGAAATGATAGAAGAGTGCTAGAACACAATAAGATGCTCTGCAAACGACTAAGTTACTGTGAAATCCATTACTGCATGCAACAACTCATTACGAGTGTTTAACCCCCTAATACAATCTAGTGACCTCGGAGAACAGACACACAAGTGGTCCAAAACAAAGCTAGCCTAATATGTGACTTATTCTCGCTATTACTGCTTGGACACCCTGCATCATAATTACAGGAGACATCAAAGGGAATGTCCAGACATGCTGCAGACTTCTGTGTGGTGACTTTCGGCCAGTTGAAACCAAATGTGATTTGCAACGATGGGTCTCCAAACATATTTTGGATGTCTGGACTACTCACAGAAGTAGTTTTACCAGATTTTATAAAAATAGGAAAGCAATTCCTTTACACACACATACAAGAGAACACAGAAAATCCCACCCTATTTCACGAACTCCCTTTAGTTCTTTTTCTATCAAATCCCTCAATGCAGCCAACCATGCAGGCCAAAAGTGCAATGTTATGAAGTTCCTAGTACTTCTGTTCTGCCCATTTTATCAAGGAAAACTCTAATCAAGTGCAGGGTATGTCACGACCTTGCGAGTTTATAAATGGCGAGTATAGACTGCCTTATCTCCTGACCTTTGATTAAGCTTCGATTTATAGTGCAACGAAGTTTAGAAGTCATTTTTAATTGGGGCAATATTTTTTTTTTTTATACTCACTTTGAATTTTAGTTTTCATCGGTAAGGACGTCCCATCTCTACCGGCATCATGCCGAAAATTTAGCGGTAGAAAATATAAAAAAGCCAAATAAGAAACAATAGGAAAAAGGAACATAAAGAAGCAACCACAAGCAATCCATTACCACATTACTACAGACACACTTTTCCTCTCGATCTTGTTCCCAGTGCGTGAGAAGAAAAAAAAAAAACCACTTCTCCGAGTCTATTACCTTTCTTTCTGAAAGGGTGACACCACTCAGCCTACTTTCCCTACTCTCAGCCCTGCGTTTTTTTCCTCATACAACCTCTACAAAAAAGAAAAAGAAAAAAAGAAAAGAAAATGGAGTCAAAAGAATGATGATGATCCATTTAGCGTTTTTGTGTTCTTGTCGACAAGATAACAAAACAAAATGCAAAAATCCTGTAGTGAACGCAATACATATAATCCAATTATATATGGTATTGCACCTTTACATTACATTTAATGTCCAAATAAATAAAAAGGCTGGCCAAACCTCAAGGAAAAAGAGGTCAGTTTGAAACATGCGTGCTGCTTGACAGAAGCTACCAGAATCTCAATGGTACACCTTCATTGGTTATTTTAACTCGGTAACTGTTTAATTAAGGAATTCGAAACGAATACAAACTAGCTGTTGTCAGGTGTGTGCCTATGAAAATTCAGCTACCAGTGACCTTGTGCAACACTGCCCAGAATAACCGAGGCCTCCAAACCCTTCCATGAAACGTCGTCGCAGTCTGACGGCGTCAACTCTGCGATCGGACCCGGGCTCGAACGTCCAGCCCACATTCCCCTCTACTCTTTTTCGGCAAGTTCCCTCCCACATGCCCCTAGCATCAACCTGGCCACGTTCCTCTGTCAGTAGCAGCAGTGCAGCGTTCCCCAGGACTAAGAACAGTAGACTGCAAATGCTGCTTATTGCTTGCCAGACTTCGGTCAACTATGGAGACATGTCTCCAGATTCAGTAACACTCAGGAAGGTGTGGCGCTCAGTGCTCAAGACGATGCAAGCTATATGTCCGAAAACCTGTGGACTAAAGTGAAAAAAGACCCTGCGCCAGGGTCTCTAGAAAGCTACGTCCAGAATATCGGCCCTTTTCTCTCCCCGCCGTTCGATACCAAGCCGTTTGCCTGTTCGTTTGCGTCATGCGACATCTGTTAGCATACCAGGACTTTGCAGGCATTGCCATCTTGGGGCCTAGAGCTGCACGAGCGCCGTTTACGACAGTTGTGGTTGTGCCATGTGGCCTTTCGAGCAGTAGATGCTGTGTCAGGAAATTACAGCGGTATCGTTTCTACCCTGTTGCTAATCGTTTTAGCAGGCAGGGCGACGGAAAGCATCTTTTGCATCTTCCATCAGGCATGCCAGGCAAAAGCTGGTGACAACAGGCAACACTGCTCCCACCCACCAATAATAACTGGCTAAGAAGGGCGAGGGGAGGAATCATACTTTTGGTTTCTAAGCTAGGTGGTGCAAGCTACCGCCCATTATAAAGGGTATAGCTATTAGCATCCATCCATTCAATGTGAAGCGTCATTGCTCTAGTGCTAGCCCATTCGGTGGCTCTGCCCTGCACCACAGGCTGACCTCAATGCTATCTGTGAAACAGAGTAAAGCAGTAAATTTAGCCAGTCTCATATCGTTCGCAGGTTGTAAGAGTTAGGAGACATACAAAACTTGTTGCCTCTGTGGGCGATACAGATGTACAGTACTCACCAAATTCACACATGGAGCATGCAAACTGTGTCCTTTCTCATGGCAGTGCTATACTAGCGATGGCCGAGCTACGATTTTGTGATGTAGTGCTCAACAAACCATCCCGCAGTGTTTCGTCGTAGCAGCTGTTCAGTTTCATCCCGGACAGCACTGCCACGAGAAAACATGCAGTTCCCATCTTTCATAGAAGTTTGGTGAGCACTGTACCTTCCATCCTAAACCGATTTGAAGGTGCATAACTCCGCAAGGGCTGCTATCTATCCTCTTCCAAATTGCAGGGTTGGGGGTTTCTCAATAGAAAGGTGCGTGCAAGTAGCCTGAGTGGGCACAAACATCTCTCCAAGCAACAAAGCTAGATCCCGCTGGCTCCAGTGGTGACCTAGACCGAGCTCCAAAAACATAACTTTTGTGCTTGTCATGACTTACCTTTCGGCTCCAAGTTTGTAAAAAAAAAAAATGCACCACTCCTTCCCTTTATAGCAATGCCCTTTGTTTCCTCGAGTTTCTTACCTAGACATCCTAGAACAATGTTTCCGACAGGGAGCACCAGTTCTTCCAAAGAGCGGGATTCATCTAAGATAACCGGGTCAACGATGTAGAGGGCCCCATGATATGAATATTGTAGACATAGCTCTCAACCCACAAAATGTAATTATCCATACTCCATAAAACCAGTGCTGGGTTGGAAAATGAACCACTACCACCGTCAACAATGAACCACTACCACCGTCAACAACATCCAATAATAAACCCCACATGGTAATTTTTCGCGGGGCACAGCCTCCGACCCTGGTGACGGGCAAATCCAAGGGGAACCAGGAGATTATCGACGCGCTCGATTAGAAAGACCAAACTCCAAGACCACAGAGAGAGAGAGCTTGCTTTGCGCACACACTACGATACCAAAGTCCCTCAAAACGCGATATGGTCTAGTTGTACCTGACACCATCTAAGCGAAAAAGAAAAAAAGGAACACGATGTTATAGGCAGTTTGAGAACGGCACGCGCTCGCTGCCTTCGGACGTGCTCTGGCTGCGCGTGCACGATCGAAGCTCACCAGACACCGAGGCGGGCCGACTGAAAGGCCTCTCTGCCGTTCTCACAGTCAGTGAGTGTAGCCACGGACAGCCCCCATTGCGGCGATTTTGTTTGCATCAGTCCTTCATCCGTCGCCGAGATAACATGCAACAACGCCCGACTTCATCGACTCAACTATAAAAAAAATAAATAAAGCAATTTGAAAAGGGGAGAACGAGGTGCCATCACGAAAAAAGCGCTTTTCAATCAAATGCGGCAGCACCGGGGGCAAAAGGCAAGTCGGTTTCCCACGATCCACCAAAATCGATTGCGAACGCGGCGAGTTTGCAAACACAAACCTCGTCACACAAAGAGGCACACGAAAATAAAAAAAAAGGTAGACTCCGCTGGAAAAGGTCCAAAAGGACGCGATTCTCGTTCGGAAAAAAAGAAGAAACACCAAACAAACACGGTAGCTTTGAGTGGGGGGGGGGGTGGGACAGACGCCAAGACATCAACCAAGCGAACATGTCGCAACATGACTTGCTTCTCTTGTATGCGTTCGCTTCGCGATCACGACTGTCACGTTGCTCCAAACACACTGATATGCTCCCTGTTCCAAATTTACACAGATCAGCGCGTTTGCTGGGGACAGTTCGGCCTAATCTACGGGATGAAATCTCCGATGGCTGATTCTGAGCTGTGCGACCGCCTACACCAATGCCAAGTAACTTCGTCTGTCCGAATTTCATTCGAGGTAGCTGCCCGGAGAGAAGACAAAAGCGGTGATGGACTCTGCAAAAGAACCAAGCAATTACCCAACGGAGTAGCGGGTTGATCATTAAATAACTAAAAAAAAAAAACACCGATTCTTCTGCGTGTACCAAACCCACTTTGTTATTTTTGTTTCGCTAGCCTCCTGAGCGAGCGAACTGAGGAGTACGCCCGGACAACGCAGCTTCTGTTACATAGGTGCACAGTGCGTCTCGGACAACTTGCATCGCGGAAAAAGATCAACTAGCGAAACGATCATCACACGCCTGCCGTCGGCAGAAGACTCACCTAGTCGCAGCTCTCCGAAGTTGCCGCAGCCGATCTTCTTTCCCACTTTGAAGTTGGGTCCCACCATCAACACGCCAGAGTTACTGGATCCCGTAGGCCTTGTTTGCGAATGCATAGCTCTCGCGCCGACGCTTGCCTTGGACGTACGCCGGGGTGTCTCTTCTCTGGCCTCTTTGCAATCACGTCTTTGCATCCCTGCGTCCGCGAACGCCGAAAAAGTTAGGCCTAGGCGCTAGGCTTAGCTCGCTGCTGCTCCTCCGGTGGCTAGCCGTGGATGTCATGGGTGAGAGTTTGCGGCCGCTAACAGCTCCCATCGAAGTTCCATGGCCGCGAAACGCACGACAAGACCCGGTCCCCGTCTCCGCCGAGTGGCTTACACTCGGCGATCGCTCGAAAACGTAGCTGCCCACGGGAAAAATTCACGGCACTGGCACCGCTGTACCCACAACAAAGCCGCAGAAATCCTCCATGAAACTACCAACCTACCCAGAATGCATGGGCCCACACAAACTCTTGACACCAACAGCTACTAGCTCCAAAGCAAGAACAACCCTCAATTTCGGCTTTAATTGGAGTCAATGCTCGCAATAAACACTCGCGCCTTTATAAATCGGGACGCTCGCTGTATTAGATACATTCTGCGTGCTACAGCAGCAAGCTAATTCGATTGCAATCCAGCGAGTTCGTGTCATAAACAAACCCACTTCCGGTGAAGAGAGACGAATATTCCTTCATTTTGCCGTAATTTAGGAACATCTAGACCTTCGAATTAAGTGTACGACTTGCTAGCAAGTAGCTGAACGAATCTGTGCACAAAAACGCTCACATTTCTGCCAAAAACAGTGCACGATGCTCGACCGTGAACCCAGATCAGCTGCTGCTTCGGTTAAGCCGCATTTCTACGGAATCACGCTAGGCGGCGACAAACACATCCTCCCTTCACTGCCGCCTGTAAACAACCGTTTCAAAATGCTACGGGCGCTTTGCTTAAATAACTGGGACCTTTAATGGTTTCATCACATAATATACGGTTTGGTTCGTCTCTCCTACGACGGTTGGTAGATAGCCGAGATGGAGAAGAACTTCCTCATCGTGGCGGCTATCATAGAAGGTCAGTCTTTCACTTCTGTAGCTCGCCTCACATCCGATGATGTCACCGAGTTGATTCCGTTGTTTGAACCTCGAACATTGGCGTATTTTTCTCTTGTTAAGGCACTGACGTTTACTTTGTTATAAATAAATGTACTGATGTCCAGCTCATCGCTAAAACGCATTTTTTTATTTTTTTTGCGAACGCGTTTTGCGTGTTGCAAATTTGAAAGACGCCAAGGTAGGAGACGACAAATGGTCAACACAGACCGTCATCGTTTATCTGTTCTCGTTCATGTCTCAAGTTTATAATCATCGTTGAGTTTAAGCAGCGAGCGTTGTGCGGATTGCCTTGGTTCGATAAAGGGGCTGAGAATTGGTGCTCAACAACGTCACTGGCGTATGAATTCTAATATTAGTAGGCATGGGCGTACCAACCAAGGGGGGCAAGAGCGCTTGCCGCCCCCCCCCCCCCCCCCAGTTCTCAGAGTGGGGGGGGGGGGGGGGGGCAAGGCATGCGTTCCCCCCCCGACACAGCCGCCGCTGGGCAGGCCAAACACCGGCCGACGGAGGGACCTTAGCCGACGGCGCCCAAGGGATACCAGGGGCACTGACCCCCGGCCCTGGGGGGGGGGTTCTGGTTTTGCCCCCCCCCCCCCTATTCAAAAACAAGTTGGTACGCCACTGTTAGTAGGTCTTCTTACCAGTCGCGCAGTATAGCGTTCGCTAACGTGTCAAAGTCCCTGCTGGTAGTGGCTCGTACACAACATGTATAATTGAATGCCTGAGTGTCTCAGCGTTTTTTTCCGTCCTCTTCCCCCAAAAGCCAGGTAGTGACCTGTCTCATCAATAGAGACCAATAGAGTAGCATGTGCAGAAGACACCATCAGGCTGAACCCTATATGTGAAGGTGATTGCCACCCATATGTATATGATTGTATGCCGAGCAAGTATTTCAAAATGTGCCTATGGTGTATCAAAAGGCAAGGAGAGGCATGCCGATTAAAGGGGAACATAGAGAATGTGGAATGATGAGGCAGCCATGCACACGTCGTCATTAGTTGAGCTAGGGAGGGGTGAGGGGGGGGGGGGCAAAAAGCATGTGGGCTCATTTGGGGGGTAAACAAACGCATATGGTGTTCAAGTTGCAGACAAAAATAGTGTTTTCAGAGCTTTGAGAAGTACCATCTGTTTAAAGGGGGTCCATACCTATATAGCAGGGGTCTCAAACACGCGATCCCACGGCTGCGAGCCCCCGTTCCCATTCCTCAAGTACTACATGCGCCAAAAATAAGTTTAATATCATCAATTTATTTCCAGTTGAAAAGGAGCTCTGCTCACATATTGTGCTCACACATTTTGCATTATGTTTTTTTTTTTTTTTTTTTTTTTTTTACTGAGTATTGCTTTGCCTAAGTATTTCATTCTTAGCCCTTTCTCATGTAAATCAACCTGCACGGAAATACCGCTACTAATTCACAAACTCGAGCTCTTTGCTCAAGGAGGCACCTCGGCTACATGAACTCTCGCTCAGCAGGAGAAACTGCTAAAGATATGAGCTTGGGCTTCTAGCTGTCAGACAATACCTTTAAAATAAAAGTACTTTCTCATAATACTGGCATAAAGATTGTCACGAAAGCAAACATTGTTGTGTGAAGAGATATTTCTTTTTATGCCTGTTGAGCCGAGTGAATTGTGCGACAGGGCAAGGACGGCGTGCTTGTTCTCGTTGTAGTTAAAACTGCCAGTATGTTAGTGTTTTAGATCGTGCTATAACATCAGGTGTGTGCCCAAGGTAGTAGTTATACATGCGAATGAAAGCTGAACATGGCAAAACCGTGAGCTTAAAAAAGCAGAGAGCACAAGGTTCCTTCTTAGAGAATCCCTGGTGTGTCTCTGGGGCACTTGGCTGCATGCTTTGCAAGATGAAACACCACTGCCTCTGTTGGCCCTCAACCCTTCGTGGGTGGGCTATTTGACCCCCACTAGAATCAGTTCGAGACCCCTGCTTTATAATATATGCCTCAATCTGAAAGAAAAAAAAAATTGGAGGGGCATTTTCTGCCCCACACACTCACAAACACACTCACACGCACACAACAAAAAAAGGAAGGAAATGAAGGAGCCAAATCTGCATCTGTTTCAAAGTGAGTGCTGTGGAGGCCTGTTGGTGTGGGCGTGTCTTTCCTTAGTCTCAGCTTTCGAACACCGCTGGGTCTTTGTCATGCCTTTTAGTCTCAACAAACCCCTTGACGGTCCCCCGGTCTTCTCGCTGATTGCCAACGTTTTTCTCGTTGCCTGCAGGGCGCTATTTCCCGAGCCGTTCCAACTGCACGGCCGTCGTGGAAGCCAAGTTCGACGGGGAGGTGATGACGACAGACCCGGTGCCCCACACGTGCAGCCCCAACTTCAACACGGAGCTTGCGTGGGGCGTCGACCGGAAGGGGCTGCACACCCACCGCCTGCGGAGGACCCCCGTCAAGGTGGAGTGCTTCGCCGTCGAGCGCGGCACGGGAAAGAAGGAGTCCGTTGGCTACGTCGTGCTCGAAATACGGAGCGCCCAGGAGAACGTGCGGGTAGGAGCGCCATCTGTATTTTGCGCGCCGTCAACTCGCCGTAGAGACCAGCCCACTTTTTGTGCAAAGTATCTAGAGGTCGGAACCCAACCCGACGTAAAAGGATGGGCTTAATATTTACGCGGGGTACGGGGCAACCGTCATAGTCGTTTGGTCCTTCTTCGTCGAACAATTTTTCTTTGCGCAACCCCTTCTACTTTCTCGTTTTCTTTAAGATACAAGTTGTCGCAGGCTCTGGTCGTTGCCATGAAATGTCAGTGGCACTCCATAGTAAAAAGTTCAGTCCTCAACGAGAGTACTCTGGTTGCGAAATATCTTCAGGCATGGCCACTGAAGGAATGAGAATGGCAGGGCGTCTCTCTTGGGTGCCCAGCCTCCAGCATGCTCTCGTTGCCTTCTACCATGCTTCGGCTGCAGGTGCATTCTTAAAGAGGCACTGACACCCCAAAGATCGTATATTTTTTTATTGTCTAAAAGGATGCAAATTGTAGTCATAGACAAACAAAAAAAAAAAGGAATCACGAAAAAATTAATTTTTGTGCACACGCGCGCCTTTTTATTTTGGGCTTTTTCTCTCCCGCTTTTCACCTCCTCGCTTCTTTTGATTGGTGACGTTAGTTAGTTAGTTGGAGTAGCTAGAAAAATCGCTGGAGTACCCCTTTTAAGCGTCTTTTCTGCATTGCTCTCGAAAAAGCAACATCCTAAAGAAAAGTCCTCTCAGATTTGTAGCTAAAGAAAAAGTTTATTTTTTTCAAGTGTTATTGCGACATGCCGAGTGATGCTTTTTTCAAGGGTCTAGAATCCATATAACTTGTTGTACCTCTGCTACATAGGTCCTCACGCTGCATTCCTAAAAATGCAGGGGTTCCCCAGTGTATCGTCAGGAGTTCTGCAAGCTCCTAAACTTCCTCGTTTGTCCCTGTCCCCAAGTAAAGCGTTTTTACGGTTTAAGCACTTTTTTTTGGCAGTTCTGAACCCCCCCATTGATGCGTAACTATCATCCGAACACACTGTAGTCTGTTGCGGGTTAAAAAGGTAGTACAAGCACCTATCACAAAGCCATTCGCTCTTTCCACTCTAGCAGAGCTAACGCCAGAGAGGAGAAAACCACCAGTCAGGATGAGCAAAGGGCTCCATGGGAAGGGCTTGTTTTGCTTTCCTTAACCTGCAACAGAATTATAGTAACTTGCATTTTGTTTAATTTTCTTACCTCCTCACGTCTCTTCCTTGAATTCATAGTGAGATTGTCCCGTCTGTGCAGAGCACGAAATGGTTACCCCTCCTGAGCAGCAGGTACTCGGGCACCAAGCCACAGATAAAGATTGGGCTGCACTTGGAGCCAGACACCGTTCCGGAGGCCGCCCCGACATCCGCTCCGGCGGGCTCTCGGAGCGCCGAAGTCCGGCCGCAGCCGGTGAACGTTGGGCTTCCGCCGAGTCGAGCCGCGGAGGCGGAGGCGGAAGATCTGACGCCTCGACTCAACTTGAGCGAGGGCTACTTCCAGATCGGGAGGCAGGGTGCGGAGAACTATGTCTTCACTGTGACCGTGTCGTTTGCGGCGAATCTAAATCAGGTGAGGCGCCGTGCCGTGGTCCCGTTTGCTACGCATGTCCTCCAACTTGCGGGAAAAATGTGGTGGTCGCCATTGTGGAAACAATGTCGCAGTCATTTGTAACTGCGGCAGGTTTGTCGAACATCGTGTGTACTAGAAGTCCGCTTGGGGTTTCTGCAGACAAACAACCTGGTTTTGAGCACTACTAACAGCTCTGGTCGTTCACAAAAAGAGGATAGCCATTTCTTTTTGCACATAGCATCCAACTGAATATATCGCCGAAGGTTGGGGTAGGATTTAAAAGTTTCAGAACTTCACTATTTTTTTTTTTTTTAAGTTGGAAGTGGGTGTTGTACCACTGTCAGTTGGAAAAATGGTCTTTGTCATCAAAGAGACCATGAAACGATTGTTTCACATTGGAAAACTATGTGCTTGGAATGTACACTTTACATTTATAATGTAGGGAGCAGGTATAATTATTTTGGTGTTACTTTACTTATGTGTTACTCCTCGAGTGTGTCCTATCCGTGCACACAAAAGCGGGATTCTCTCTCTGGGATAGACAATTCACTCGGTCAGGCTTGTGAGACTTTTAGAACACGAGGAACTTGAAGCCTTAAATGCAGCGGAAGAAAATTGTGTCGCACGAAGGTTCTCGAAACGCAGTAACAAAATGCTTTCATACAAAGGAAAAGGGTAATCCGATTCCTTTTCACAATATCTCCAATAAAAGCACCATTTTGCGACAAAAAGTTAGAAATCGCTTGTAATACCTTTTTTTAGGTAGACAACATGAAGTTCTGGCAAATGTGGCACGTGGTTCCGACTGCCACCATTCAATTCGGGCGACCTTTGAGTGCTTTTTGATGCACAGTTTATCTACGTGGTGTGAGAGACGTTTACTTTTTATGCAAGCGACCCTCCCTCGGGATGCGCCTTGACTCCCGACAGCTTGTTCCACAGCTGATCCACAGGTCCGAGCGTGCCTCCGCGTCAAAGTCCGGTCCGTACCACTTCCGCTACCACCTTCTCGGCCAGGAGGTCACGACGGAGCCCTTCGGAAGCCTCTCCGAGCCCAAGTTCCAACCGGAGCGCGCCTCCCTTAGGATCCGCAGCAGCGCTCCGACCCTCCGGCGTTTCTTCAAGGATCATCCAACGCTCAAGGTGAGGTCCTCTTCTTTCCGATTCTCCGAGCCATTCTGAACAAGAATTGCCAAGCGCGAAACGCTAAACAGCCATTTTGTTATGGCACTCTCGTGTAAAGCTTAACCGGCTCGCACTGGCGTGCACGTGTAAAGCTTTGCTGCCTTGCACCAGCTTTCGGGAGAAGCGGTTCGCGTAGAGGTACACCTCAGTTTTTTTTATATAGTAGCGGGGAGTTTGATGGGGTGGCTGCTTAATGTATTCTTTGCTTATATTTAATGGATTAGAAAATAAAGGGCGAGTCCTTACTTCCACATGTGCGCATGTTTGGTATCCTATAGTAGGTAACTTTTTGAGGGGTCAGAGTAACTTTTACAGCAGAGCTGTTAAGGGCTAGGTTCCCCAGGATCGTGTCTGGTACCAAACTCATGTCGACACAAACCTACACAAACTTCTGGACAGCTACCGCCATCTATAAGCAACGGCGGCAAGCACACAACCAGTCTGGTTGCCGCCGTTGCTCGTAGTTGGCGGCAACCTTTTCAGCTATCGTAGAAGAATGGATAGTTGGGCACGTTGGTGGGAATTCATCGTAGGAAACAGCGCGAAAAAGCAACGAGGACGAAGAAGAAACACACTTGACGAGCGAGCGGAGCGCTCGTCACGTGTGTTTCTTTATTCTCGTCTGTTTTGCGCGCTGTTTCCTACGCTCTTATGAGTTTCGGTTCGAACTCGGGATGAGTCGGCCACGTGCCCTTTTGGGGAAAGAAGACTGGGTGCCGAAGGAGCGGCGACGTACGCAGCAGCGCGAATGGTTTTGTAACTGACGCGAAGCCACTGTCGCCTTGACTTCCACTGCGTCCACCGCTTCAGACTCTCTTGCTAAAGAAGAGTACATTGCTCGCCTGGAAAGCCACCGCCGAGAGCAGAACCAGCGATTTAAACGGCGCCAGCGGACCAACACCACGGACGACGATCGTGCCACGGAGGCCAAGCGCAAGCGCGAGGCCCGGCGACGACAGCGCTCCACGCCAGCGGAACAGTTCCCGGGTGCGACGGCGAGGTTCCGGAGGGAGTTCGTGGAGAACCCGTTTGGCGTCACGTGCGTCGTGTGCGACCGACTCTGGTTCGCCGGAGACGTATCCACGATTGGCAGCGCGTCAGACGAGAAGAAGCGGGAAACGGGCGCGTGTGTGTTGTGGCAGTGGATCGAGTCGGTGGACGTCTACAAAGAACCGGCGTGCACAACGTGCCGAAATTCCCTCTTCAAAGGCGCGGTGGCCCGGTTCGCGACTGTGAACGGCTACATGTACCCACCCGTACCGGACCACCTACCAAGGTTGAACATGGTGGAGGAACGACTAGTGGCGCCTCCACTCCCTTACACGACCCTTTGGCGGTTGATGTGGTATACAGTCAAACTCCTTTATAACGAACAGCAGGAAACGCTATGATCTGTTCGATATAGCAAGTAATTCGATATAGCAAAGACCATTTACAACGAACTTCCTTGATACGTTCGTTGTAAGGTGAGAGCTTCTCTTTCTTTCTCATCTCTTCGCTTCCAGCTTGTAACAACACACTAGAAAGTTTTTTTTTTTTTTTTTTTTTTTGCATGCGTGCAGAGTTTGTTTTTTTAGCTTATCTTCCCTTCTGAATCGCTTCTCTTCGTGAGCAACAGTTTTGGTTTAAGCATTTTTTTCTGAGCGCGCGTGCAGTGTATTTTTTAGCTTTCTCCCCTTCTGAATCGCTTCTCTTCGTTCAATTTTGTTTACAACTTTATCTTTTGCAATTTTCTTTCATTCCTATTTTTTTTTTTGGGGGCGGCAAGGGAGGGGGAAGGGACAGGCTAGAAGACGATTGTTGGCGCGTTTTTGGAAGCCTTTCCGAGGGGAAGTAGTTTGATACAGCCAATATGTTGTTCGTTATAACAAGTATTTCTTACATGCATTTTTATTTAAATTTTTCGTGAGTTCGATATTGACTATAATTCGCTGTACATGGGTTCGTTCTGAACGGGTTTCACTGTAACAAGTACACGCGGGGGCAGTATACGGTTGTCACATAACCAATTACCCAATCACACCTTAATCCCTACATTTATAAATACTTCATTTCCACCATAGTACAGCTTCGCTGGTCTTCCTTCTTCACGAGAGTGGAAAGGCTGAAAGTTTTTAAACTAAATATATATTTTTAAACTTTTATTTGCTTGTTTTTAACATTCCACTGTGCCTTCCAAAATCAATAGATGGTTTTGAAGGGCAACTTTGATCAATATTTTTGAATTTGGGATTCAGACTGTTTTCAGCTAAAGCAGAGGTCCTGAATTATAAGGTATAACTTTTTTCCCCGGTATTGTGTGTAGTGCTATAAATGTCACGGCTCCAAGTTTGGTTTCAGGCGTCTACGACAAAACCGAAACTACATATCTGCTAGAGGGACGGCACCACTGATCATCAGCCGTACAGTCATGACGCGAGGTGAATGTGGTGCTGCGCCAGTGTCCCTTGACTACGGTTAATGCTAACCCGCTTGTTGCCCGCTAAAGAGCAGCTGTTCGCATCTTTAAAATCGTTTTTTGTGTAGTGCGCGGCTTCACTTTGACTGAATATTTCGGCTGGAATCATGTTTCGTGCCACGAAAAGGATGCTAGTCATTTATTTCGGTTTACTTTTTGACTAAAGTTGACCTTTAAATAGATTTCCACTTTGTTGGGAAAAGGAATGGGTGGTTATTACTTGAAGTTGTGGTTAACTTTATGTTGGGAGTTTAGGGAGAAAAAGAGAAGCTTTGGGATGCAGCTTAGCTTACGTAGTTTGACTTTTTTCTGCATTTTTGACTTCTTTAAGGCCCACTTATGAACTTAAAGCATTGACCAGAGTGCAGGAGCACTTTCCCACGTCGACAAAACTAAACTGATGTACTCAAAACGTATTTACAAGTGGCAGGTCACTAGACAGGTTCAAAACCTGCGCTCCAAAGGCCCAGAGTAACGGAGACGCTTGCTTCGCCTACCGGCCGACAGATGGCGCTGTGCAGCAGGAACGCCGTTGTTGGCGAGACTGAGGTGCCGCTGGGTGACTTCACGACCGAGTCACCCCAGTTCTCCGTCTCGATTGAGGGCCTCTTCCAGGTGAGTGACTGTCTCAGCACAGCTTCAAGGCTGATTCACGCATTTGCGCTCGAGGGGGGGTCGACTGCGTTGGCTACCACTCATCACCGCTTTGTGATGTTCTTAGTTGTTTTGTTGTTGTTTTTAGTTGTTTTCAGGCTAGGTGGCAGAACTTATAATTCCCCCCCCTCTCATGTTATAAAGGGTACAGCCATTATTATCCATCCGTCCACAAGAAAACACATTCGCTGCAGCCCTGAAATCCTTCGACATGCATATATTTTACGCATCAAACTTGCGCTCGATATAATTCCGACAGTGCTGGCTATTTCTCATGGGTGGTGCGTAGATTGAAGCTCGTGAATGCTGCAAAAGCTTCGGTCTAGCCGTACGTAGACCAGTAGTACCCGACGGACGAGGCCAATGTACTGACGTGTTTCCTCATTGTTTTCTCATTGCAGCGCAGGGGATTGCGCTCGAACGTAGATGCACGAACTAGCCTTTGTCGGTTCGGGGTGACCCCTACTACTACACCATGCTGGTCTAGGTGGGGCTGTAATTACGTGATTGCATGTCGCGTGACCAATGCAGGTTGGTGTTGGTGTTGTCGAGTGCCGTCACTCTTATTTGTGCTCCCCGTGTTACGCCGCTGTTCTATTAATGGCTCCGGTTGATATGGCCGCGTGGGTTCAGCTGCCAAACCTAACGGTAATCGCCAGCTGGCTTCGTTGGCTTCATAACAGAGAACATTTTGAAACAGGCGGAGGAGTTTGGGGTCGATTGGTGTAAAGTCTCAATACATTGGTAGGGGCTCTATTACCGTAATTTTCAGCATGTAAATCGCACCACATTTCTGTCGGTGTGTTTTATATGCAATTCTTACAGGCAACATTTTTATCAGTATGAACCTTCAGCATCCAATGTTTAGTCCGTATTGACGTTTACGATGAAGGAGGAACTGTAGAGCGTTCGCCGATGGCCGCTTCTCTGTCGCTCTGAAGACTGTACGGACCATGCCAATAAGTGCGACGTAGACATTCACTCTTTTGTGTAAACGAGTTACAGGCTGGAAAATATGGTATGCTAATTTCAGGCTTTCGCCAACTGGGCACGAGTGGTTTGTGATTGTGCGCCTCTACTAGTGGAATGGCTTACCGTCTTGCGTGTTACTGCAGCTTCGTCCGGTGCCTGCTGACGCGGAGTGGCTGGGAAGCGTTCAGCCCGAGTACCGGCCCATCGTCGGTGTGCACGTCGAGATCCGCGAGGAACCCGTAAGCCAAGCTAATGTTCTGCTTATTATTCCAGTACAGACGAGAGACAACTTCATGACGGTGCTACCCACTTGTTTATAATTATCTTGTTACATATTACGTTGTAAGAAACTAATGTTGTGCGTGCGGCCTAATGTTGCCGCATGCACGATAGAGTGCAACGCACACAGCTGCTGCCTAGAGGGTCGGGGTTCAGACGCCGTTTGGCCTGGTTCAATTCAATTCAATTCAATTTTATTTACTCCAATTCATGGAAAGGGAGACGGGACAAAAAGCTACTCGACGCGGCTTGAAACATTCCTGCCTCCCATACAGACTTTGTCAGAATTGACAGCACAACACAAGTTAAAGATATTAGGACATAAAAAAAAAATAACAAGTGCAACACAACAATGATATAGATATGCATATCACAAATAAACAAAATTTCTAAAATCGAGGGTTTTCACTTTCTTTGAAATATATATTTATTTGATTTTTTTTAGGTATTTCTTTTCTTTTCTCAATCAATGTGTTTCTGGAAAGTTCCAGCCCATTTTGGGCTGTCATTGTGTTATCTGGTTCGGGACATTCCCGAACCTACAAGTTACTGCGTACATGTATAAAAGTGGTAATAATGCGCCACTTCGAGGCAGCTGCCCATCTATTTCTGATGCAGGATGCTCAATACCTTCTGCTTTGGCTTGTGGGTTGAAGTTTGCCTTGTTAAACATTTTAAGTTTCACAATTTGCTTGCCATGTTTGGTCTGTGAGAATATTATTTGATCTGATTTGATCTGTGAGAATATTGTTTTCACTGGACCGAAGAAGAACCTGCCAGGTCCCGAAACATTCCCTTTTTGAAACTATGATCGCCCCAGAAGACCGAAACCGTCAAGGGCAATATTGTTTGATATTTATTACTAGCAAGTGTTTGCTTTTCTTTCCAGGTTAGATAATTATAATGTAATAATGATTAAGTAATAATAATTATATTATATAAGGTGGCACAAGTGAACCTTCTGCCGTAAAAGGACCCAGAAAAGTCGGCACCTGCACGTAGAAAGCTCTAACTTTCACCGAATGTGCACTGAGCAAGTCAGTTTAACCGTGTTGAATTTCGAGGCATATATCTCTTTCCGCGTAAAAAATCGGAGCAAAAATCTTGCCGAAGTCAAGGTTGGGCACGTTTGCAGACGACCGAGTTACTTGTGGCACATTTCCCGATGGATGCAGCTAGCAGACAAAAGAAAGCCTCACTTGCTCACTGAAAGTTCCAACCTTTTATGTGCCGGTGCCGATTTTCCCGACCAGTTTTACGGTGGAAGGTCTTCTCCTGCCATCCTATAATAATTACATCAATTTAGAATGTGAACAAAAAAGACCCCAAAAACGGGGAGCCCTAGTTACAATGTCCTTGAGACACACAGGAGGTTGACTTCGTTCTACGTTCGGCACGGCTGCTCAGGTGCACTCAGAACCCCGGAGTGAGCTTCCGGAACGAGCCACCGCGTCCGGACCGCCCGACGTTCCGACTTCCCTGGCGAACGACAACGAACGCACGCCGCCGAGGGCGCGGAGCCGCGACCGACCCGCGCCAAGCCCCACGCGAACGGCGCACTCGACTTCGCCACCGCAGCGGCGCAGGAACGTGGAGTTCTCACCCCCGCAGAAGTTGGACAGGCAGCAGAACCTGCCGCCGTCCGCTCCGCTCGGTGGAGCGTCTGGATCCGGAAGCGGTGAGGTCTTTTTTTGGGGGGATGGGATCGACCTGGGCAGTGCCCTTGACACAATGCACATACGGTATGAACTCACTGTGACAGGCCTTGATTGTGATGAAGATTTTGGTCTTGTAAAAGGAGCATACAGAATGCGTATACTCTTGCTACTGACTTTGAGGTGAATTATAACTGGAGTCTGTTCCCACGAGAGAGATTGACGAAATGAGAAGGGATATTATAAAAGAAGAGGTTTATTGAAACTTCTAAACTTTAAAAGGTAGTGATTTTTTATTGAGCTGTACCGATGATTGTCATCACTGTGTACTTTGGGTTATACAAGGCCCACAAGGCACCGAGGGCTACTACAGCCATTGCCAAAAGGGATGCCACCGCCACCGAAAAGCCGCGTAACGTCCGAAATAATGACCGCTCTTGAAGAGTCTGCTACGATAAAATGGTGAACTACTTACAAACTTCCTTATACAGTCCATTATATCCGAAAGTATGTTGCAACAGAATCTGTAGAAAGCAAAGTTGGCTCAGTGGCACAGATAGGAAGACCAAGCGAACTTAACAAAAATCAGTACGTCATAGTAGAACGTCTGCTGTAACTAGACCTTTTTTTATGAGGTTAAACTCTACCGTGATCGACTCCAGTTTCGCCTCACGGTAATAAAACTGCAAATGGGAGTGGAATCCTACATATTGTTTACTACTAATGGCGCCCGTAACGCGCGCTATGACCGGCGTGTTTACTGCGCCGAAGAAAGTGGTCCCTCGATTTTCGCCTGACGGCGTCGTACGGTGGAATCTTGTTAGTTTGAACCAAAGGGGGACCAAAACTTTGTTTGAATGATGCAAAGTTTGAATTGCCGGGGAGTTTCTTCTTAGAAACACTTAGGATGGGACCTGCATGCTAGTTTGATGATTGCGATGCCCAACGGCACGACACTCCGGCATCTGCGACGTTGTTTGTTGCCACTTCGGGACCGTTTTCGATGTGTGGGCGACACGGGATGCCAACACCCGTCAGAGACGTGTTCCGGGCATTGTGGGTATTACAGAATAATGCATTTGCGTAAACAAGTTTTAGCAATTTAAAAAGACAAAAAAGTGTTGCGAAAATTTGATTGTGTGAATGTGTCGTCCCGTAGTAATTTTGGAAATTAAGTGCTTTCCCAAATTGAGTTGTTGATGACACTAATTAACTTGCTGGCCACAGTTTTTTTTCTCGCATATTTATTGGGTGTTCGCGTAACTATGTCTATTTGCAACTCCAGCAAACTATAGGGGGCACGCTGGTCAGGCAGAATGGCAGACGAAAGGAGGTCGTATTTGTGTCGGTCAGCTCGCGGACCGCCATATATTTCTTGCACTGGAGTGTAAAGACGGTGCTATAGTCAGACCCACTCATAACGATCCCACATATTACGACTTATCAGTTATAACAACCAGCTTTCAGAAAATATACGAATTCAAGGCCCTACCCATTAAAATTTGTCCAGATGAAATGACCGTTCTTCAAAGCATCATACTGTTAACAATACTCAAAAACTGTTGCGTGAAAAAAAAAAAATCAAAAGAGCTACATTTTGGGCGCGGCACTGCGGGAGACGCTCAAGGTCATTTTCACAACTGCGCGGCATACTTCCCCGGGAAGGAAACAGAACTACAAAACCAAAAACGCCTCTCGCGACGCGTAGTTTGCCGATTGTGCGTGTGCGGGAAGTAGAAGTGGAGGGGAAGGAAAAAGTCAACTCTCATGTCGTGCTGCGTTTGTTCGTTCTATGTCTGCAAACTCTCTATTCTATGTCGTCACATAGCTAACTCTGATGCCCCTGAGTAGCACTTATGCCCCACTCTTTGCTGACTGTTATGCGAAGGAGTAACGTCATATTAAGATATTTGTTTACGAAGAGTTAACACTCAAGTTCCCATTGGAAGAGACATGCAAATGGGCGCAACGTTGTTCACCAAAGGTGGCAACTGGAAACAGCCGCAGCGGCAGTTTCTTTTTGTTTTCAGGACGTCTCAATCGGCACAATGTCCGAAAGTGAGGGCTGCGTGCCCAAGAAACGGAAAGCGATTGAGATTGGCGCAAAAGTGGGCATACGTCGCGACATTCGCTCCGGTGTACATCACGACCCTCAAGGACCTTGTTTTCGCAAGAGTACTTCCAGAGGAATACGTGTGCCACCTGGACAACCTCGGGAAGGCATTCGAGCGCACTACGGTGCGAAAGCAAGTACCGATCACTGCCGTGTTTGCACCATTCTAACACACTTTTTTTCGCCAAGATCGGTGCCCAAAACTAGATGCGCGTTACAATCGAAACCGAAACTCAAGAACTCAATGCTCGGTATAAGGTGGCTAGCCCCATCGCCATCATGACCGTTTGTTTACGTTCGACATTTTGGTATCCATATCATGCGCATTCTCTCGCGTCTACGGACTTGTGTCTTTCGTTTTAAGATAGGGGAAAAAAAAGAAAGATCCACTAGGAGGCTTTATTTAAACAAAAGTGCATCACGCTGGCGGAAAAAATTAACAACGGAGCAACACTGCATGGCCTTGTAATCCTAGCCACCCGACTAGCTCGCAAAGTGTTGTTTGAAAAACGACCCTGCCAGAGGCGACAGCACTTAAAACACTTTAGACCAAAGCAAGTATTAATTACCTCTGTGGACAGCGAAGAACTATCGTCGGACTAGTGCACGGCGTTTATTTTTGTGTTGGCGTGCGTTTCATAAAATCTGTTCAATGAGGTATATGGTCAATCTTCATTATGTTACTTGTGCAGTAGAATCAGCAGCATTTTACTTTTTTCTGAAAGCTAAATCTGCCTGCACGTTAGAATTGGGGGTGCGGTAGAATCGCGCTAACAGTTTCTTTAAATAAAAAGCTGGCAGAGTGAAACTACCAATACCCGCTTCATTATCCTTATTTTTAACATGTTTTAAGGGTAAGTCCAGATATAACAAACTACTGATAGAACGACCACTTTTCGGGCAACTATTGCATTCGTTATAAGTCGGTTTGACTACATATGAAAGCAAAGCGATTTTTCGACGGTAGAAACCTTCTTCTAGTCAGTGCGTAGAAATGACACGGCAGAAGCATAAAAATAATGTCTAGAAGCGATGTTTGTTTCTATGCTGCCTACGGGAACCAAGCAGCGATGGCAGACGACAGTGTCGAAATGACCTTTCCTGAGCTTCTCGGCATTTCCGCTATGCAGCGTTGATTTCGCTGGAGTCGCCAATAGTTTGGTGGGGGTCGAGAAAAGCAAATGGGCTGTTCCCGCAAAGCCCTCCCCTATTTCGCTTTAGCAGAGCAAATGCAGGAAAGGAGGCGAGAGGAGAAAGCCACCAGTCGGGGCGAGCCGAGAGCTTTGTGGGAGGGGTTTGTCCTGCTCTTGATAACCTGCAACCGACTTGGACTCTCCTCTCGATTGGAACGAGAAGACAAAACGACCTTGTCTTGTCTTTCTCCAGCTCCGAGCCAGTTCCCGTTCGGCGACGACGGTGCAAGGAGGGCGGAGGTCATCGACTTGACAAACGACAGGGAGCCCCACAGTTTCCATCACTACGTGCTCTCGCTCGACATCAGGAGCCTGCTACTCCGCGCAGCCAAAGGGAGCTCGACGCAGTGCTACGTCAGGTGAGAGAGAGGCATTTTCCGTTCCCGTACTGTTTCTCGTACATACTATCGTGATCAGTATGGGCATGAAGAGTATGAGCAGGGAGAGGGGGCTGCGAGAGTGTGCGCTCACTCTAATGTTCACACCCTCACGGGCCCCCCTTCCCCCCCCTCCACTCCGTAGTTTTATTGACTTCAATGTGACGTGGCACGCATTGAAGGCCACGCACTCCGGTGTTTCCACTCGTACCGTTCACGACTGTGCATAAAATTTGGCTACCGCTCGATTAAGCTCTTTGTTTTTGGAAGGGGCGAACATTTAGTGCCCACATAATAACTAAATCGACTCTTGCCCGCTGTGTACCGCGGGGTAAATAAATGTTCACGAAAAGTCGGTTGGGGCTGCTCAGAGGTGGTGAGGGTCGTCAACAAGAGTTCACATAAGCTGGGCTCCCAACCAACATCTAGAGAGCAAGGCCATAGTGCTTGATTTGCCGAGTTGCCTACCAGGGGTTAGCATGGAGCTCAGATTGGAATCGAGTGGTGCCGTCAGTTTGGTTGCGGGACTCGTGTCCAATCGGCAAAAATGTGAGGTCCAAAAGAACGCCAACTTGGCACTTTCGTCCAATTCGTGCACTTTGGTGGGTGGCTTGGAAAATCGAGCTCTATGTCCGTGTTATCTAGGATATAGTATTGTGCGAATATTGGAAGTTTGAAATAGTTGTTTCGAATAATGCGCCATGTAATTCTTTTTGAGGTGAACTGCGATATTCATACTTTTCGAAGTGTTGATCGCAGCAGTTTAGCCCCATTGAGTGCGCTTCTTGCCGACCACCTGTTTGCGAAGAAGCAATACCTGCGGAGGTATTGCTTCCCTGCACTGCACAGGGGCTCAGCAAAAAATGCACTCAACGGGTCTAACCCGCCACAATTATCCAAAAATATGTTAGGCAGTGATGTCTTGACAGCCTGCATTCATTATTTGTGCTCATCTTCTTTTTTTTTTTTGTGTGAAATTTGAAGTAGAAGGAAGAATATTTCCATATAGCAAGCATATTGATAAATTCCTTCAATTGGGATAGCTCTAAAAAATCGTTCAAGCATGGTGCATGGTGGTGAGAGGCTTGGAGAAACTATTCGACAATCGACCAGAAAACATTCGTCCAAAAACGCCATTCGTTTCGAATTCGCTTTGAGCTCAGGATACTCTATTTGGACATGCCTACTAGGAGATGTTTTAATAAACAGTAGCTAACGAAGAAAATGGTCTCTGGCGAAATCTCGTTCACTTCATGCTTGCTTCGTGACCATGACACCTGAAACATATGTCCTCGACCAGGACATTCAGCGTCCCATACCGCCCGTGCATTGAAAGTGGTCCCGAAGCGGCAACAACCGGCGTCGCAAAAGCTGGGCTGTCGCGTTGTTGGACGTCGCCATCCCGGCGGTCGGTCGTAAAAGTTCTGACAAAAAGCACGAGTGAACGCGAGCATTGCCGTCATCGCGGCGTCCCAACTCCCGGCTGCCGGAGCTACCGCGGGCTGTTGTGCTGGAGAGCGATCCGCGACAGAACGGGGCGTCTGCCACATCACTGCTTCTATGACGTTGCCGGGCGGAAATCGAGGGACCACATCTGAGGACGGAAATCTAGGGACCACATTTGTGGGCGGAAATCGAGGGACCATATTTGAGGATGGAAATTGAGGGGCCACATTTGAGGACAGAAATGGAGGGATCACAAATGAGGACTGAAATTGAGGGACCACATTTGGAGACAGGAAGGGAGGGACCGCATTTGAGGATGGAAATTGAGGGACCATATTTGAGGACAGGAAGGGAGGGATCACATATGAGGACGGAAGTTGAGGCACCACATTTGAGGACGGAAAACGAGGGACCGCTTTCTAAGATGTGATAAACGCAATAGTTAAAGACACGTTCCAGGCACGAGTAGTTGTGACCTGGCTCTACCACACATTTGCGTTTGCGCAAAGCACTCTAGTCGCCGACCGCACGAGAAAGGCCAGGAGGAGTTCCGGTTATCCCGCCTCCATTGCAAGCTTCCTACCCTCGACGGCAATTTGGCGCCTCGCCAGCCTCAAAACGTGCGTGCTCGACCATAGCACTGCAAGAGGCAACGAGCGTGTGCCGGAGGCTGGGCATTTGAAAAAGACGACCCGGTGCTCTCACCTTGTCAGTGATCGTTGTGTCAGGCTCTAGACGTGTACCTCTGCATTGTTGTAGTGCGTGTTGCCGCGAAGGATGGTATGCGAAGTTCCAAAGCTGTGCGACACGATGCACCAACTCGTTCGTCAGACGTACCGGTGCAGCAGTTTGCGCGGTTGATGCGATTCCTGTCAGACAGCACGTGACGTCTGACAGGAATCGGGGGTTGGCGATCTTTCAGAACTGTTATGTTACAGATATTTAGCCAGGAAAACGGGATGGGCGATCTCTTGGGGGCAAGTGTTTTTTCGGAACTTTACGGTAGTCATAGTAAAACTAACTGAGCTTAGAAGTGGATAACTGAAAGGTTGAGAGCAACCTTCACGAGTTAGCTGAATTTTCGTTTAAGCCTATTGCAACAATAGTAAAAGGCTTGGAGAAACTATTCAATATTCAATTAGAAAATATTCGGCCAAGACCACTTTTTGCTTCAAAGTTCACCAATGTTTTATGTTTGTGCCTGCTTGTAAATAGGCCTGTGTGGAGGAAAGTGTTAGAAATCTGCTTTGTATGTGTAGCTACTCCTATAGCAAATCGCTACTTTGCATCAGATCATATTTACATAAATTTTTGATCATTCAGACTTCTGATATGTCAAACTAAAGTCTGTTGCTTCCTGGAGTTTGAATTAATGAGAGCCGACTGTACATGTTACGGAGGTGTGTTCGTCATAACGTGTACCCGCCTGCTCTTGCGCATCTAATACTTGTTTGCAGGTACCACTATCCCTTCCTGGGCACCACGGTGCCGTTCCGGTCCCGTCCGCCGACCGTCGTGCGGCCTGGCACAAGCGCCACCGTCGGCGGCGGCTACGCATCGTATCACTTCGCCGCCAACTCGGACATGGTCGAAGCTGCCTTCACGGAGTGAGGGGCCTTTTTATTTCGTTGTTTCGGCCGACTTTGCAAGTGGTTTGCCTGTGGTGCCCACAACAGTTTTCGTCACATTGTCAACTTTGCTAAACTCTACTATGGTTCACTTGTCTCGTTTTTCTATCGTCGGTAGTTGTAAAAGGCGTGGTTAGTGGAAAATTTACTCTGTCGATGCCTGTATCCCTTAGCATTTATTTAACCCGTTAACCATTTTAAAATTTGTGGAATTTCAGGCCTTCAACCGCTTAATTGTTGTCTTTAAAATTACATTTGTTGCCTTCGAAATCAAGTTTCTAGCCACAAACAGAATAAAAGCAAAATGTAAAAAAATTCAGTGCTGCTATCTGTTGGCAGAGTAGCAAACTAAGTCATGAGCGAGCTTGGTCCGTCCAAAACGGTTGAGTGCGTGAACTGGGGACAGCAGACAAGCTATACTCGTCCTGGATGGTTTGGGGACGAATCCCCGTTGACGAGTTAGGGTCGTCCAAAATGGTTGAGGGGTTAAACTCTGTCTCGTTTTTCAGGGTTCCGCTTTCGGTCGACGTCGTTAGCATCGATGGACACACGGAGCGTCTGCTTGGGACGGCCGACTTCAGCCTGAGCCCTGTTCTTAGTTGTCCGACTTCTACCTTTGTGGTGAGCCGTAGTTGGAATTGGGAAACAAAGGCCAAAAATGGCTCTTCTGAGCTCAAATACAGTCTAAGCTCATTACAACAGTAGAAGGGTATGCACTTGGGCTAGTTGGTTATCCATGTTTGTGAGGGTAAATGCTAAAAACAACGGACGAGTAAAAGAAACGAACAACACAGAGCGCTACTTGCAACTGAAGTTTATTCTCAGAAAAGATACATATATATACACCGTGAAATCGCGACATGTACTACGGAAATGCGACATCACCCAATCAGTGTTCGATTGTCTGCTATCTACTTTATGAAAGATTTTAAAAAGTCAGATATGAAAAATTTTTATTTCTGAGTGCGTTGAAGGAACGTGTGTCAGCGCTCCATCTATAGCCCTGTTTGGCTCTGAGGTGGCATTTTTTAAAATCTTTCATAAAGTAGATAGCGGACAAGCGAACACTGATTGGATGATGTCGCATTTCTGTAGGACATGTCGCGATTTCACGGTGTATATATATCTGTGTTTTCTGAGAATAAACTTCAGTTGCAAGTAGCCCTCTGTGTTGTTCGTTTCTTTTACTCGTCTGTTGTTTTTAGCGCTTTTACCCTCACAATCATTACAACAGACATTTGGATATAACATACCGATTTGTGAAGTTTGGTTGGTTTTCTTCCACATCCATTGACTCCACTTCATATCTGCATACAACATACAGTCAAACCCGTTTATAACAAACAGCAGGAAATGCTACGATCTGTTCGATATAGCAAGTAGTTCGATATAGCAAAGAACATTTCACTACAAACTTCCAAGATGAGTTCGTTGTAAGGCAAGAGCTTCTCTTTCTTTCTCATCTCTTCACTTCCGCCTTGCAAGTATATATATATATTTTTTTTTTGCATGCATGCTGTGTTTTTTAGCTTATCTCCACTTCTGAATCGCTTCTCTTTGTAAGCTTTGAGATGAAAATTTTTTGGTTTTTTTTTTTTCCTGTGCATGCGTGCGAGTGTATTTTTTTAGCTTTGTCCCCTTCTGAATCGCTTGCAACTTGTTTGCAACTTGAGCTTCTGGAATTTTCTTTCTTTCCTACTTATTTTTCGGAGGAAGGGACATGCTAGAAAACAATCGTTTACGCGTTTTTGGAACCCTCCCCGAGGGGAAAAAGTTCGATATAGCCAATATGTCGTTCGTTATAAAACATACTTTTTACATGCATTTTTATTTAAATGTTCCGCGAGTTCGGTATCGGCAATAATTCGCCGTACGTGGGTTCGTTCTAAACGGGTTTCACTGTACTCCTCTTACAACAGACCGAAATCTTGGTCAAAATCAAGGTCTGTTATAACGAGCTTAGACTGTAAATATCCATGGCAATATCAACGGCGGTGGACGTGGTACCGTGAAAAATGTTGCGTGACATCATGTTTTCAGGTGACGTTGTGACATCACGTAAACCTATAAATGCTGTGCATTTAGTCTGTCTTGGGGTATACTAAAGAGATGGGCTAGAACGTTTTTTTTTTTTTGTTTTTTGCTTTGCTTTGCTTGCTGATTTGCTGTGCGAAGAGTGGAAAGCGCGTGGGTAGCTGCATTATGTTGTCGTATGACCATATCACGTGACTTGGCGTCACGGAAAGATTCAAAAGAAAAGCGAGAGACTGTGTCACATGATTTCATTTCATGGAAAGATTAAGAAAAGCTACACAGTGCGCCACGGATTCCAAGCAGATTGAGCAGATTGAGCAGAATCGACACATTCCACATACCAACTTGCTTCTTAGTATCTAGGCAAATGAGGCACATGAGAGCATATTAATATATTCAGGCTGTAAAAAAAACAAAAAAACTTTCAGCCTTTCCACTTTGGTGAAGAAGGAAGACCAGCGAAGCTGTACTATGGTGGGAATGAAGTAATGGCCGGCTGCAGGTCGGCAAGCCAGAGTGGAAAGGCTCAAAAGGTTGTTACCATCCATGAGCGACGGCGACAACCCGCAAGCCAGGTGTCTGGTTATTGCCGTCGCTTATAGGTGGCGGTAGCTGTCTAGAGTTCTGTGTCATTGGGCCATCTGAGGACGGACACAATCCTGGGGAAACTAGCCCTTAACAGCTCCGCTCTAAAAAATCGGACATACAAATTTAGTGGTCTACAGATTACTACGCATGCTTAGCTGGCTCTATTTTTTTTTCGGTGCCTGCTAGGACAATCACTCTTTTTAGGGCAGCTTTTTCTCGTGGAAATGGTAATTTGAAGGGCACATTTCAAACAAAAGTAAACTTCCTGCGTTCTTTTCGAGCAGCAGGACGGGAGCCGCAAGTTGGGCAGTCGAAGAGTAAGGACCAGCAAGGCCTCTTTGCTGGACACAAGGAGGTCAGTTTCCCTCTTTCGCCTTTTACCAATAAGTGAGTACAGGTGCCGGTGAAAATGCTGCCTTGGCTCACTAACATGGACGCCGCCATATTCCCCACAAGAATTGTTCATAATTCGAGTCGTCCATAATAACAGAGCAAAGTCTAAAATGCATTAGTATGCGGATGTGGACACAGAAGACACTATTTATTCACTCACAAGGTTATAAAATTTGAACCTACACAAACCTTTGGGCACCTGTTGAGAAAGCATAATGCATCTGATATCTACCAAGGGAACCAACGTGTTGGTTAAATTAACTTGAATAGTAAAGAATGATTAGTAAACAAAAGACAGAGCGAGGACTTTTACTATATGCATTTCAATTTCATGTTCTTTCCTAAGGCCCGCTTCAAAGGAGCCAATTTTCACAGCAATTTACCGTATTTACTCGCAGAATGAACGCACTTTTTTTTCCGAAAAATCGATGCAAAGTTAGGGGAGGGGGCGTTCATTACGCGAAGTAAAATTTTTGCGTCCGTATTTACTCGCATAATGAACGGAACTTTTTCCTGAAAAATCGAAGTAACCTCTTATCTCTCTGCGCGCGGCGCCCGACCCCGTAACCAAACTAAGCTGTGGAAAAAAACAAAAAAACTCCTGTTTTTTTTTTTTCTTAGTTTCTTAAGTGTTTATTTATTATTTTTTTTTTTTTGCCGCCTTTCGCAAGCTGTTTTGTTTGCTTAGGCGAGGGCTCTCCTCTCCTCTTTCTTACCTCCTTGTGCGCGGCGCGCGACCCTCCGTAACCAAGCTGCGCTGTGCAAAAAAAGAAAAAAGACAAGAAAAAAGACCCTCTTTGTTTTCGTTTTCTCTTAGTTCCCTGGCTTTTTTTTTTTTTCCTTTTGCCGCCTTTCGCAAGCTGTTTCGTTGGCTTAAGCCTGGTTCAGACAGTTGCGTTTGACCGCGTTCGACTGCGTTGCGGCAGCGAGAAACCAGGACATCCCTGCTGCTTATATCGCGTGCCAAGATGATTCCTTGAATTGGATTCCACGCTTCATACGAAGCACAGATGTGCCGGTGACTAGCTTTCCGCACTCGACGCAACGCAATCAAACGCACTCAAACGCAAGTGTCTGAACTGGCCTTTAGAGCGCTTCTCCGCTTCTCTTTCTTGCCTCGCTTGCGGCGGCGGCGCGCGAACCCAAAGTCCAAACTGCGCTGTGCAAAAAAAAAAAAAAAAAAGCTTCTTTCCATGTTTTTTTGTTTTTTTTTACTTTCTTCCGTTGGATCTTTTCAAATTTTTTTAACGTCTTTTGCAAGGCGTTTTGATCGCCCACGCTGCCCATGCGTTCGGGACCTCGCTGCACCAGGATAAAAAAAGTGCGTTCATTTCACGAGCGTGGGGGGAGGGGTCAAAATGTTGACACCCGAGTTGGGGGTGCGTTTATTACGCGAGTGAAAAAAAAGTCGAAATTTTGAGAGCCGACTTGGGGGTGCGTTTATTACGCGAGTGCGTTCATTGTGCGAGTAAATACGATAGGTGTTGCTGGCATGTTGTTCCCTATAATTCCCTAGAATAGATCCTCGTGTTGCAACACAAATTGCTAAGGCCCGCTTCAGACGGGGCAATTTTTCGCAGCAACTCGACGTCGCAACACCAGCAACAAGGGCCACCCGCGTTCACACGCAGCAACCAGTTGCTACGATTTGCCATCATCATCATTAAATTTGATTTTTCTTGCGCTATTTAGACACGCAGGTACACGCTATAAACATGGTTTTTATACCTTTAAATGGCGTTGAGAGTACTAAGGCCCGCTTCAGACAGAGCAATTTCACCCAGCAACTTGACGTCGCAACACCAGCAACACGGGCCGCCCGCATTCACACGCAGCAACCGAATTGCTCCGACTTGCCATCATCATCATTAAATGTGATTTTTCTTTCACTATTTAGACGCCCAGCTACGCGCTAAAAACGCGTTCTTATATCTTTGAACGGCGTTGAGAATACTAACTAATTTTTCTGAAACTGTTTATTTCCGAAAATGATCCATTTCAAACCAGAACTAAGTCTTTAGCTGTCATCATCACCACCACAGGGGTGTCACGTGAAAATATTGCGTCTTTGATTGGCTGCAGCCGCTTCAACCGTCTTCGAATTGCTCCGAGTTGCTCGCTTGTTCGAGCCGGACCCGATCTCAGCAATTCGCGTTAATCTAGGGAAAGCTAGGGAACAACCCGCCAGCAACCTCAAAATTGCTGGAAAAGTTGCCCCGTCTGAAGCGGGCCTAACGCGTCTTTCTGAAACGGTTTATTCCCAAAAACGGTTGATTTCAAACCAGAACCAAGTCTTTAGTTGTCATCATCACCGGCACAGGGTGTCACGTGAAAATATAGCTTCCCTGATTGGCTGCTGCCGCTTCCGACGTCTCAGAGTTGTCCGAGTTGATCGTCCGTCTTGAGCCGGACGCAATCCTTGCAATTCGTGTTGCACCAGGGAAAGTCAAAGAACAACTCGCCAGCAACACCAATATCACTGGGAAAGTTGCCCTTTCTGAAGCGGGCCTAAAATCTTGTTTGGCTCAAAATGGGTGAGCAAATCCACCAACTCTGAGACGTTTCAAGCGGCAGCAACCAATTGGGGACGCAATATTTTCATGTAAGGCCCCCCCTCCCTTAGGTGGTGATGATGGTAACTGGACAGGGCATTTAACTTGCTGTAAAATACCGGAGAAGCGCTCACCCTCCTTCCAGTGAAAACTGGGTTGATCTAGACTGGCGCTTGTCCAGTCAAATTGGGCGCTTAACATTTAATTTGCAGAATTCCCAAGTTTGGGAAATGTTAATACTAGTGGGCACTTGAATGAAGTGGGCACTCCTGCGGTACGAGGTTAGATTGAAAGGATTCCGGAATCGCCACAACAGGACTTTGTTTTTCCAAAATATATTTATGTCGCTAGGTCGGCAACCCTTCCGTATGAAATGGCAACAAATGTCGCGTTGATATCTCAAAAAGTCCGGCTTTGACAGGCATTCGAGTCAAGCAACCATGAACATTTTCAATGACGGATAAAAACGAGATACGAGCGGCCAACATTTTTTTTTATTTGGAGGGAACAACTGTGACGGAAGTCAAGTCCAGGTTAAATGCTGCTTTTGGGAACTCATCGCCTCTGTTTTCCACCTCGAGTTTTTGGGTTTCCGAATTGAAGCGTGGTCGTATGGACACAAGTGATGAGCCTGGACGTCCAAAAACAGCTACCACACCAGAAATTATGGATGAAATTCATGACCTGGTTTTGGAAGACCGCCACGTAAAAGTGCGTGAAATTGAGAAAGCAGTGGGCATCTCTTCTGAATGAGTTGTTCATATTTTACACAATAAATTGGGATTAAAGAAACTTTGTACAAGATGGGTGCCGCATTCGCTCAGTTTGGAGCAAAGAATAAATTCAAGCCTGAACGGCAGCTGACAGTTTGTGAGTGTTTCAGGTAAATCCAACGGATTTCAAGCAATGATTAGTAACTGTGGATGAGACCTGGGTCTACCCTTAGCCACCAAGAACAAAAAGTCTATCGATGCAATAGACTGGGCCTGGTGAATCAGCTTCAAAGAAGTTCTTGGGGGCGGCGAAAGAATTTTGCTCATTGATTATCTTGAAAAGGGAAACTGTTACTGGTCCATACTGCATAACAATTGTGGACAAGCTGAAACAAGTAATTGAAGAAAAACGCCCCGGAATGGTCAAGAAACGAGTGTTGTTTCACCACGACAATGCACCAGTTTGTTTAAGTGCAGTCGCTCAGCGAAAGCTGACAGAACTAAAGTTCAGAATCGTTCCGCATCCACCGTATTCACCAGATTTGGCTTCCTTGGAGTTGCCCCTATTCCCGAAGCTCAAAACCTCCCTGGCTGGAAAGGGATTCCTGTCGAATGAAGAGGTGATGGAAACTGTGAACAGTTATTTTGGGGATTGTGAAGAAAATCACTTCTGTGAGGAAATCGAAAGGCTGGAGAAACGGATCACGTGTGTCAAGCTTCAGGGGGATTATATCGAAAAATAAAGTATAGCTTCAATCCGATATATATTGTTTTATCTTTCATTCCGGAAACTTTTCAATCTACCCTCATATTTTATGGTAGTTTTAGTTTGAAATAGACAATTTTTTAACTAAAGGGTTTCAAAGACATTATGGTTGTTAGTATTCTCAACACTATTTAATGATATAAAAACACATTTTTAATGTAGAACTGTGTGTTTCAATAGTGCAAGAAAATTACAATTTTAACGATGATGATGTTATACCTCTTGTGTTATACCGCTTTGTGTAAGCGCAGTGGTGTTGCGACGTCGACGCTGGGAAAAAGTGCCCCGTCTGAAGCGGGCCTAATCAAGTCTGCTACTTTTTGGACACATTCCTTGTCCTTCCTGCTCAAGGAAGGGCAAAGACACATACTAAAAGGGCACAGTGTGCACAAACTTCAAGCTGTGGCACATCATGCGTCGAGCACCTATTGGCCCATCTTCCCTTCATCATTGTCGACCACTTCTGTCGGTTTCCATCGAGTTTGCGGTCTTGACGAGTGTTCCCGCTGAGGGGCTTCAGTGTGACAGCGGATGCAGATGACCCGCCTTGTGTCTTGTGCAAGGAAGTCAGCACTGTCAATGGAGCGTTTACCGATCAGTCATCCACGGGGTTTCTCAAACTTTTCATTCAGTAGCGTCGGAACAGGGATGGCAGGGTTGAAGGGGCAGAAGACTTTCCCCTCCCCATTTCGAAGAACTGTCACCAGCCTTGATTGATAGCTGAGGAATCAGTCCCGCTCTTTACATTGATGCAATGGAGGAGGGCAGGATGCTACAGGCTTTGTAAACAGTAGTTCACGTTACTAGCAAGCGTTTGGCTCATAGGTACGCTTAGTGGGTGGCTCTTATCTGCTAAAATAGTACTTAAACTTGGGAAACAGCTTACTTAGAGGCAGGGATGATAGAGGAAATTCGGGAGTTTGGGGAACCCGTGCGGGTACTCTGGAGAACTCCTGTGTTCCTGGGAACCCGATTTGGGAACCCACACACTAGTGTAGACAAGCAGGGGGCAAGTAGCTTGTTTGGCCCAAAAGTTCAGTTTTTAGTGTTCCCTCAGTCCTGGGGGCTTTGCCATCCTTTGTTTTTCTTGCCCGTCCGCCTCGTCTACTAAACCTGCTCCCACAAAGTTAAGACGAAATGTGCACTCATTGCGCCACGGTCCAGGCTTCGGGTCCCTGTATCGGTGGGGGAGAGTTGCACGGGTGTGGGTTGGTCCCCGAGAACTTTGTCCATGTAGTGTGTATCCACATTTATTTATTTTTTTGTCTTAGACCAGGTGAACACATTAAGCGGAGGATTGAGAAAACACATCAGCGAGAGTTGAGGTCGAGTCAAATGCTCTGCGCAGTCGTTCAGATGACAGGAAGTTAGTCAGCCTCGAGGAGCATCTGTTGCCTCTTCTTTAGAGAGGAAATTCGTCCCATGCATTACGACCGCCAACCCAGGGTCTTCGACGTCATGCGATAGCGACTACACAAACACATGCCAGTACGACGCTCGTGCAAATGGAAAGAAAGCTGAGTGCGAGGATTGAACCCGGGATCCTGTAAACAAAACTATGTCGGTGGTGTTAGCGATTTCATTGAGAAGGTGGCTTTAATGGATCCTTGTCAGATAAACGGTTAAGACAGGCACATAGCTGGGGGTGGGGGCCTTGGGGCCTGCCCCCCCCCCCCCTCCTTCGAAATCTTTCACTTTGCTTGGCCTTCCTCTCCCCCCTCCCCCCCTACAGCTTTTTGTCATGGGCGGTTCCCCCCCGAAACAAAATCCTGGCTACGTGCCTGCGGTAGGGCATTGGGAAGGTGTCATATATTAACCGATATAATTGCTAGTAGGGCATGACTAACAAAATGGCTAACGAGGTGTCATTCACACAGGTCGCTTGTCGGAGAGCTCGAAGCCGTCATTTGTCTCGACGACCTCGGCGTGACGGTTGTGCCTCCCGCAACTCCGGTAAGCAGTTCTGCGATGTGCCTTGCCACTGGCCAGTTCGTTTTGCCAATGAAGTGTGCCATAGTATTGACAGAAACAGAACGGTAAGGAGGTCCTTCAGTGGTGCTGCCCCAACGTTCTTGTCCTGTCAGCCCTGTCAGTAACTATGTCAACATGCTTTCACTCAGTCGTCCAGTCAAAAATGCCGTTATAAATTGGCAATTCCTTTTTTTTGGGTGCGCGGTAGTGTAGGATGTATGTCTTGTAACGTAGGTCATACCATACTTTATTAGGGACAGTCTAGCCTCATATCACGTCTGGGATTTCTTTTTTTATAAAACCATGCCGTTAAAGGTGGACGTGCCGCCAGAAAAAAGGAAATCCATCCTCCTTTCTGGTTAGGACTGGCTCGTGAACTGGCTGGATTAGAGCTAGAAGAAAGGAGATCGGTTTTCAGCCGGGCAGAGAATTACTTTATGCGTCGGCATTCGAGACTGGAGGTCTTCGGTTGGTGCTCTAGCTTCAGTTCTGGCCCCGCGACGACTCCACCACCGTAACTCCCGGAACGAGGCGCACTGGAACGGAGAAGACGAATGAGTCGTGCCGCGCTGGGGCTTCCTCGTGAACGTGCAGCAAAGGAAAAAATGAAGGTGCACAAACTTGACAGAAATGCCGAAAGCCCAGAACTCGCTTATTTAGCACGTCGCTGGCGTTGCTCCACGTTCAATAACGTGATGTGACCCGCGGGAGTAGCACAGACCTACTCTTGGCCGGCGCTCGTGTTAGGTGCCAGCCATGTAACATAAAGAACAAAGAGCGGTTTGGGGAAAATACAAGAATCAAAGAAAGAATAAAAATGCTCGGGGACAAGTGTTGACTGTCGTGGCTGTCATCTTTTCGGGCAGCTGCAGGGCGACAGAACCAGGCTTCCCCAGGTTCCCGCAACGCCGGGTGCAGAAGGTACCGCGGCCTACGAAAGGGAAATTTTCAAGATCATGACGGAACTCGAGCTGTGGAAAGAGCAGCAGGAGATCCTCTTCAGGAGCCGGGTATGCAATAATAATTCTTTTTTTTTTTTAAGCAGAATGCTTTTACGGGTTGGTTTCTTGGGCTACGGCATCGCCTAAAGTTGTAACAAAAACAAAACACGGTTAGTTTCTCGTTAGATTTAATGTGAGATTAGCTGTATTTAGGGGACAGTGGTCTCGCAACATCATCAGCAGGTCACGTGACAGTGTTTTGCGACACCACAACACAGTTGTGACATGATGCAACATCTTTTATAATTGGTATGTAACGTGATCAGTTAACGTGATTACCTAACTATAATGGATGATGTGACACCTCTTGTGGTCATGTGATCACATGACTATAGCTTATGAATAGAAGAACCGTTTGTTGTAAGCTTGCTGGGTGTCATCGAAAGCCATTAAATGAGTCACTTCTAGAAACATCGAAGGGGCACCCAGTTTTAGTGCACCCTTCATTTTTTTGGATTCCCATTGGCTGCATCTTTGCGTCGACGACCGACAGGAATGAATTCTCGTGGGCACATTTGAACTGGGTGTTGCTTTGGGACACGCCACCCTCCCTTCCTTTCAGAAAAAGAAAAATTGTTTAAAAGATTCCAAGAAAGACCTTACCTTCCTGAGCTTTCTGGCCAATGTAATACACGTTAATTGAGAAAAAGTGTAATCCTCTTCAGTGGCTTTTACGTTCGTCGCTCGAACTTCACTCGAACTTCAAGCGCAGAACATAGAGCGGAAAGGATAGAAGTGCAAAACAATCGCACAACAAATGGTGTTGCAAATTCGTTGTCGTTGTTGTCTGCTTCGCACGCCAAAAAAGCAGAGGAAAAAAAAAGCGGTTGGGTGTAGCCAGAGCCTTTTATACTGGGAGAGTTCGGCGGTTCTTTGATCCAGCCGCCAGTCTGGCAGCACTGATCAAACAGTCTGGCAACTGTGCGCATCCGCCATGATGTGCCTTGCCGTCTAGCTTGATTGCACCTTTGCATTTAATTGCATTATAATTATAACCTTAAATTGCAAGCTTCACCCTTGTTGGTGTAAGGCTGGTGGCGGCTGATAAAACCTGTTTGCCCTACTGACTCGAGCCGGCAGTCAGCTCGCTAGAGTCCATGGAGCAAGAGACGACGATGAAAATGATCGTTCTGCGCTCTGCCAGACGTCAGATGAAAAAGAAATGGGGGGCTGCAGTGCCGTTGGGTGCTCGAACAACGCGAAAAGGGGGTTCAGGATGTACCGGTTCCCGCAAGGAAAAGAAAACCGCGCAAGGCACAAGATCTGGGAAACCAAGAAGGGCTGACTGGAAGCCGAGTTCTCGATTGTGCGAGGTAAGTTTATGATTAACGTATGATTAACATAACAAAATGCTCAATTTTTCGACTTTCTCCTTACGCCAACAAAAGCGCAAACGGCAAAACCTACACGCGTATACATCGCATGTCAATGGGGATCCACTCGCCAAGAGGCACATCATGGCGGAAGCGACGCCCGCTGAGTCCGCTAGACCTAGCGGGCCGTAAGCCCCTCCCACCCGCCGAACTCTCCCAGCATAAAAGGCTCTGGGTGTAGCCACGCAACTTTTGGCCATGAGCCTCCATGCTCATGTTTCGGTTTTGTTTTGAGCAGTTCAGTTTTTCGTATTTATTAAAGATGGAGGTGGCTCTGCAGCAAAATATTGATTGGGGAGTCTTCTAACAACATACATATTAAATCGTCTAACAAAAAAAAAAATCATTTTTGGGGGGTGTTACTGTTTCTTTAATGGTTTCAGGCGTAGGATTAATGCCCTGTATCTACTGACGGCTTAAGAAATGCGTGGCATGGCGAGTCCTAAGCATCTTATTATCGCTCCTCGGCCGAAACCCTGGCTTTAGCCGACAAGGACGCCGAAGACAAAATCGTGAAGCAGGGGCGCATGAATATTACCAGTAGAGTTGCGTGTTTTCGGATAAATCCGAAGAACTCGGAAAAACACCCGCCGGTAAAACGTCGGTCAATTCGGATTTATCCGATAAACCCAGAATTTTATGTGCCAGTGGTTCCCCACCCCCACCCCCTCTCTCTCTCTCTCTCTCCCCCCCTCCTCCCCCCCCCCCCCCCCCCTTAAAAAAAATGGAATTTTGCTGTTTGATTAGCGCACAGGGTCAATGGTCCTGGGAATATGCAACCACAGTTACATTTCGAATCTCAGACCATTGTCGAAAGGGGTCTCACCGCTTATCTCGTCAAGGTTCTCTCGGGACACGACAAAAGCCGCTGTTTTGGTTTCCAGTTTTGGCCATGCTATTTATGCTTCAGAGGAAGGAGAGCTTGTGTTTTTGTTAGAGTGAAAGCTATGGACCGTACGGATTGCATAAAATTGGGAAGGGGGCAATTGAAACATCTTTTTTACGTCCTTTACCACTCCACCTTGCGCGGCCGCGGGGGTTGATGAAATAGGATGGGATGAATACGAGCTTCCCAGCGACTACCTCCGGGAGTTTATTGATTTTAAGATATCGACGTTTATCGAAGCAATGCTTGTTTGCAACTTTTGTCGTGAGACAAACTAGTATTACCAATGGGAATGGCTCCAATGCCAAATCCAGCTAAAGAAATATCAATTGATAAAGCATGTTTTCATCTAGCATACACATTTGTTTTAACTGGCATATGTACGCCCAGATGTTATTTATTTATTTATTTTTAATAGAAAACACTGCGAAATTAATCTCAGAATTTTGGAGAACTGTGAACCCCCCCCAAAACATAAACTCCGATAAACTGCAAATATTTGGCAAAAAATAAACTCCAAAAAACACCCTCCGAATTTGACGAAAAATAAACTCCGAAAACACGGAACCTAATAACCACGCCCTGCTCTCCTTAAGATGTGAGGGAATACAGCGTTGTCATAAATGTGGAACTTAATTTTTGTTTTTCAGTTAAAAGAGAAAGAGGACGCCCATCTGAAGGCAATTTCGGAGGAGTGGAAGAAACACGACCTGGAACGTGAGGCAGCCCTCAAGAAGCGGGTAAACAACTCTACTTTTCTTTTTCTGAAATGGACTGTGTTAGTGAAAGCAGGGACTTGCGTTTAGTTTACGTCTCATACCCTTGTCATTGTAAAGGACGGTTCACGCGCTTTTGTTTTCTTACGACCATGTTCTTGCGACCTCTTACGGCATGGGGACACAGTGGCACGCCGGCACCCTCTGTGAGGTGACCCTGGAACTGTGTTTCACTAGAGCGAAGGTTTTGCAGTATATTTGCGAGATTAAATGTATGTATTAGCTACGAGAAGGGGTCTTTTATAACGGTTTCTTGAGTTTTTCGAACCGATAATGAAAGAATGATGTGCGAAAAAAAAAGAGGAAATGTACGCAAATTGCAAGCGTTCCAAGGCTACCCATTAGACAGCGCCGGTCCGTTCTCCGTCGTAAGAGATCACAAGAGTTTGTGAGACACTCGGGTGTAAGCGGTTGTATGTGTGTGAGCCAGCCTCAATGTGCATATATATTGAAGTCTGAAATGTCCCACTGACTAGAGAGCAGCATAGATTAAAAAACGACTGAATAAGGACTGTGTAGGTAGTTTTCCCGGCCCTCGATCGGCACCTTGGAGCTTTTACCGTTGTGGACCCGGAGGGTGGATGACGGATGGTGACGCCAGTTGTTGTGGTCACCGACAGAATGAGAACGGGAGGGTGTATCCTTTGAACGCCCAGCTTCAGGCACGCGCTTTGTGCCTTTCGCCACGCTCTAGCCTTGCGCACTCGCTCTAGCTGCGCACAGGTGCTAGAGGTGCACAGAACACCCAAGCGCCGTCGAAGGTCCCTGCTAGTTTCATGTTGTAACTGACCACAGATGATGTCAAAGACTTCTTGTTTTTTGTTTTTGTCGACGGCAGAGAGCTATTGAACTTAAGTTCGACAAATTAAAGCTCTTTGCTGCCATAAAAAAATTACATAAAGACAGTGCAAACATTCGAAACTGTAACTTTTGTGTGCAGCTTACGTGGTTAAAATGGTTATAAAAGGACGCCTCGGCGCCGTGTCTTCTTACGCGCAGCAAGGAGGACGCCCAACGTTACTACTAGCCTTCTGCCTTTTTAGGTTGGCGGTAATTTGCGTGACAATAACTTGCGGAGCAGTCATCTGTGGAGTGTGGCACCGTGTAAGTTTTTCACTTGGCTCCTCTAGGTCAAGGAATGCAAGGACCTTGAAGACAAGCTGAAGTCTTCGTTGAGCAGCGTTGAGACAAGGGAACGTGACCTCTCCCGTCGGGAAGCCGAGGTATGTGCGTTCAACGTCAACGGTGCTGCCGCATTGCCTTTAGAGCTCGGCTCTTAGGCGCCCGTTTCCGGCTTAAGCAGCGTTGGCGTCGCCGTCCCCATCGCCGTCAGCATAATTGTGCGGCGCATTATGGGACGTTTCCCATAATGACGTCACACCTGATGTCACATGTGACGTCACGAGGGTCACCAGTGACGTCACAGATGACGTCACCGTGCGTTGCATTATGGGTGAATTTTCCCGCAAAATTTAGTACAAAAGTTTCCCCACTAAATTTAGTGGAAAATTTTCCCCGCTAAATTATGCGGTAAAATTTCCCCGCTAAATTTAGCAGAAAAATTTCCCTGCTAAATAGACCCTTTCCGGAATTCAGTGCCATCTGGTTACTCAAATGGCAGTTTATGTTTTACTATACTAATGGCGGCAGTGAACCTGTGGTGTGCAGTATTTAATGGGGCACCGTCACTTAAAGGGCAACTCCGCTTCTTTTTTGATACTTAGAAAACTATGTAGCCCTCTTCAGTATCATATAGAAAGACCCCATGTCAAATATCACAATCTAATTCCGTTTATATATTTAATAAACAGGCCAGCAAACCTTCAAGCGAGCCAAGTCGCCGAAATCTGCCAAATCTAGCTTGCGGCGCGAGGCGCAATCGTCAGCGCAGTCAATGCCACGGAGTTGGAGCAGCTGACATTGAGCCACTACGTCAGAGGCATGTCAATGTCATTCTCACGTTTTGTTTGTTTTTACTTCTGAGAGCGAAATTGAACGATGACGTCATGAGTTTCTCCTCCCGGTGTTGGCTGAACGGCGTTCACGTGATCACCGTAACGCGGATGCACTAGTTTGCGCTGCCCTGCGCTCTTATCGGTCTGTTTCTCCGCTCCCCTTCTCTTTCGTCTTCTCCCCTTCCTCCTCTCCTCCGGGCCATCACCGTCCACGCCAAGCGAAGCGACCTGCCCGCCTGCCCGCCTGCCCGCGGCTGCCGCGGCGCGTATCCTGTTTCTCGCTCCTTCCCGAACGTCACTAGACCACGTGGTTCGACGTGACGTGCCATGACTCTGACGACTCGAGACCAATGTTGCCTGACGCAACCGAAGTTTCGGTTTCGGTATCAGCTGATGTTTAAATTAGGATTACACAAATAATATTCCACATTTCGCGAATCCGAAGACGCAGAGCTGTTTAGCAGTGCTTTGTGAATTGGAATCAAATGTAAGCCTAAATTTTTCGGAATTGAGCGGAGTTGCCCTTTAAAGGTCAATGGTAAACGAGAATGTGCACTTCACTACAATTATTTTTCAATCTCTTTTAGTGTCGATGGCGAAACAAATGCAGGCAGTCGGAACGAAGCGCCATCCCACACAGACGTCTTGATAGAGTTCTATAGACCGACACGCGAAGCGGCTCTGTTTACCAACACGGCCGGAAGGCCGCGCATGCGCGGTAGCTATGTGGGCAAAAGCAACCCGGCCCATCGTGTTTTCGCCACTGCGTTGTGTGGCGTGCGCTCGTTGTTGACGTTGTAGGGACGCTTGTATCTATTTGTGCGTCGTATTTCTTGACCAACGTATGTCGTATGCTATACCCGACTATTTGAGCTCGCTACCTTAGCCTGAACGGCGGCGGTATCGAAACAAACTGCGTGGACGGCGTTGCCTACGAGGATCCGTACGCCGTAAACAAGGCCTGCTGGACTTCCGACGTGTAGTTGCTGCCATCGAAATCGACGGTTCACGTCGTCGTTTATTTAGTTTTTTTCGCCAAGCCAGTTCACTGCCGACACGGTGCAGACGTATAAGCCTCTCGAGGCCTACGATTACTTCGAGTCGGTTTCCGCACTGCCGGCGGGATCAGCAGACTGGGTCTGCGGAAGGGTATTTATTAATTAAATAAATACACACAGCGTTTTCAAGTCAAGGTATGCTATTTCTCCTACTCTCATGACCACAAGGCATGACAAGCAGTAACGCTTTGTCCGTTCTGCAGTCTTGGCTGTAACACGTTACAAGTAACGACGTTACCAGGAACGCGTTACTTTTTTCGGTAACGTAGTAACCTACTCGTTATTTTTTCGACACAGTAACGGGTAACATACTTACGTTATTATTTCAAGTAACGTAGTTATGTTACTCGTTACTACAATTACACTTCAAGTTTTTTCGCGTTTTTAGGCTTCAAGCCATGTTTTTCTTTGCGTTTTTTCTCGTCAGTATTTAGGTAAAACCGTAAAAAGAGATAAAGTAATTATGTTCTGTTTCTGCCTGAACATAATGTTGTTTTTTTATATATGAGCTTATGCATACCTGTATCGTCAAAACCGTAAAACGTGTTAAATCATAATTTAAAAAGTAACGCAGAAGTAACGTACGTCACTTTTTATCGGTAGCGGTAACGCGTTCCTTTTATTTTAGGCAACGTAGCTCAGTAACGCGTACCTTTTATTTGCAAGTAACGAGTAACCTATTTTGTTCCATTTTTTTTTTGGTAACGCTTACAACACTGCCGTTCTGTCGCCGATCCCCTTCTGCTTGGTAGCACGGGCGTAGCGAGCCTCCGACGAGCGCTTGGCCGGTGCTTTGTGCGCGAACACCGTAGTCACAAAATCCGGGTGTTCTGGATTAGAGGAAGGGGTTTCCCTGTATATAAGCAAGCCTCGGGACGGAGACTGAAATGGAAGCCGCACTTGCCTCCAAGAAAGTGCTTGCCGCATAAACGCGCGAGGCGACCATAATTTTTGATCCACGGATATTATCCACCTTCTATGCCTTTCAGAGTTTGCCGGGAACTTGTAGAAGCTCACTCCGCTACTTTTCTTGTACATTTCGGTGAGATTAACGGCAACACAGCTTCGCGGCATGCTGAAATAGTATGACGCCCATGCGAAACGTGCGCCCTTTTGCCCACACCCCCCGGCTCCGGCGCGATCGCAGCGCCGCCGCAGCGCCGTGACGTCAAGCCCGCGTGTCGGTCTATACAGGAAGGAGATGTGAAGCCGAGTGTGTGCTACTAGCACATTGACTGCGACCAAGTTAGAAATGAACGCTTACGCAGCTCTTGCGTCCCATTCCTGCTTTACACCGCGCTAACATCTAGAATGTATAGGCCTCGAATCATCTCCTTAGGAGCATCTTCAACTTCTTCCTTCATCAGTAAACAGAAGGCCGCCATTAGTATAGAACATATGCCGTTTTCAGATGATGATGATAGTGATCAAAGTGGCCAGACTGAATTCCGGAAAGGGTCTATTTAACGGAAAAATGTCTCCTCCCGGTGTTGGCTGAACGGCGTTCATGTGATCACCGTAACGCGGATGCGTGGATGTGGAAAATTTTCCACTCAATTTAGCGGGGAAAAATTTCCCCGCTAAATTGAGTGGAAAATTTTTCCCGCTGAATTTAGTGGAAAAATTTCCCCGCTAAATTTAGTGGAAAAATTTCCTCACTAAATGTAGCGAAAAATTTTTCCGCTAAACTTATCGGAAAAATTTCCCCGCTAAATTTAGTGGAAAAATTTCCCCACTACGATTAGCGGAAAAATTTTCCCGCTAAGATTAGCTGAAAAATTTTCCCGCTAAGATTAGTGGGAAAAAAAATTTCCCACTACATTTAGCGGAAGAATTTTCCCGCTAAGTTTAGCGGAAGAATTTCCCCGCTAAGTTTAGCGGAAGAATTTCCCCGCTAAGTTTAGCGGAAGAATTTCCCCGCTAAGTTTAGCGGAAGAATTTTCCAGCTAAGTTTAGCGGAAGAATTTCCCCGCTAAGTTTAGCGGAAGAATTTCCCCGCTAAGTTTAGCAGAAGAATTCCCCCGCTAAGTTTAGCGGAAAAAAATTCCCCGCTAGTGGAAAAAATTCTCCGCTAAATTTAGCAGAAAATTTTCCCGCTAAATTTGACGGGAAAAACTCTCCGCCAAATTTAGCGGAAAATTGTCCCCCAAATGGGAGGCGAGCAGGAAAGGAGGAGGGGCATACCCTTCTCTCCGTATTTTCCCCTCCTCCTCCTCAAGAGCTGCGCTCTAATTTGGCGTGAAAGGGGATTGTAAACGTCTTCATTTTTTGCTTTTTTTGTAGCAAGAGCTACACTGGTCGAGGTTGAGCAGTTTCGCCTGGCTCCGAAAGAGCCGTGCTGCACTTGCGCGAGGAGCGGTGACATCACACGGCGCACAGCTGGCGCGCTGGAGACGACGCCGCCGCCGCCGCCGCCGCCGCCGCTACGTGTGCCTCGCCGGTCTGCGCATGTGCGAGGAGCAGTGACGTCACATGACACACAACTGACACGCCAAAGCTGCCGCTGCGCGCGCCTCACCAATTTGCGCATGCACGAGGAGCAGTGACGTCACATGGCGCACAGCTGACACGCCAAAGCCGCCGCCGCGTGCACCTCGCCGATCTGCGCATGCGCGAGGAGCAGTGAAGTCACATGGCGCACAGCTGACACGCCAAAGTCGCCGCTGCGCACGCCTCACTGGTCTGCACATGCGCAAAGAGCAGTGACATCGCACAGCTCACAGCTGGAGTGCCGGAGCCACCGCTGCCGCGCGCTTTGCCGCCACCACGCGCGCCTCGCTGATCTGCGCATTCCAGAGGAGTGACGTCATAGCCGTGACAGACGCACTGGCGCCGCCGCTTGCCCAGCAGTGCGCCTCCGTTGCGCAGTAGCCAAGTCTGACGCTGCACCGGAGCCGCTTGATAGCGCCTCTCATTTTGTGCGCATAAGCTCACGCTACGTATATCCTGGCATAGCCGAGCTAAGGCACCGCAATTTTGAAATGATCACTCGTAACCGTCGTGACATCACTTGTGACCCTCGTCACATCATGCGTGACTTCACGTGTGATGTCATGCGTGACATCACATGTGATGTCATTATGGGAAATGTCCCGTAATGCAACGCACGGGTCACGAGTGAGACCCGTGCGTTGCATTATGGGACATTTCCCATAATGCAACACATGGTTACGCCGATGGCGACGCCACTCAAGCCAGAAATGGGTGCCTAAGAGCTGTGCTCCAAAAAGAGATTCAGTTGCCATCTTGGCCCGATCGAACCTGGGATTTTCGGTACTCTGGGAACATGCAGTGACTCTAGTTCGAACCACTAGAGCTACATTTGGGCAGATATAGAACGTTTGGCTCTGCATGGTTTATTTTTGCAAGAAAGAAAACAGTTTTCTTTTTCTTGCAGACACCTCATAGATGTTGTTAAAGCTGGCCCCGGCAATGCCGTTTTTTTTTTGCAGTTTGGTCAGCAGAAGTCCGACTTCCAGTTCCTGAAGGGACGGCTTCAGAAGGAGACCAAAGACACAATCAAGCGCTCTCTGCAGGAATATGAGCACCTCCTCAGCCTAGAAAAGTGAGTTGGTGGGCAGAAACTGGTCGATGCGAGCACGATAGATTGCCAAACAAGTGCTGGGCCAACGATTTCCGCCTTTCGTTTGTTTCTTCCTTGACGTAGGAAAAAGGTAGCTGATCTCGAAGCCGAGCAGCAAAGACTTAGGAACCAGGTATGGTCTCGGTGATTTCATCCTCCAATCCTTCCAATGGTAATGTCAGTTTACAAAAGAAAGTTTCTATTAGTTTTGGATAGTCAAATGTCGAAAATTGGAGCCTGTCTGTTCTTAACAAATGTTTCTAGATTGAAAGGCTTAAGTGAATGTCTAAATGACAAAAAAAACAAAAAAACAAGGAAACGCGCAGGTTTGTGCATGCAAAGCTTGAAACGACCTGAAAACAGAGCGGAGGTCAGCTTTTTATGTTGAATACATAGAAAGGTTTTTATTTGCAGTGGCCGATGATATTCTATATATGACAGGAAATCGAACTAGACAAAATGTAATTTTGAAGAAGTGCAGCACAGCTTTATGCTTTTTTAATGTTTTCAACTTGTCTGACAGGGAGGGACTGCCGAATGAACCTGTCTTGTGGTCAGAGGGACCTGTAAGATCAGGAACTGCTATGGTCGTCTGTTTCGTCCTCTTGTGTGTTTCTTTCGTTTTAAGTCAATTTAAGTCCTTAGGTTACCTGGTCTGGAATCTTTTTGTCACGCAATGGGAAAGTTTTTTCTGGGTTCAAATCGAAGCAGCAGGGGCATGCTGCCAGCGTTAGGAACGAACCAAACGGATCACTTGGCGAACCTAACGAATGGATGTGGGTTCAGAGAAGCTGCCGTAGAAGAAGTCGCCGGATGTATCATCTTTCTCAAAAAAATAATCACGGGCCTGTCGGAAAGACGGACGACTGGGAGAGCCAGTTCTACTCGATACCTAGGGTTCTTCATTTTGGAACAGTTGACACGCTACATGGAAAGTGCTACATCCTCATAAATATATTCAAAATTTTTAATAAAAAAAAAAATATATTTAAGCATTTGTTTTACTTTTATGTAGTTCAGCGCCGCCGTGGCGACAGAATTGACTAGGGCTGAAACCGCCGAAGTTTACAGACTAGTAAGTACTTTGTCTACGGACCCCACAGACAGCACTGGCACAATCTATCAAGTACGGTCAAAACCGGTTATAACGAAGTCGGTTAGAACTAAATAGCGGCTACAGCGGAATCATCCCAATTTCCCATTCCCTTTTGCGCCTCATTATAACCGAAGTCGGTTATAACGAAATAGCAGATATAGTGACATGATTTCGGATTCCCGTTGACTTTGTTATAACCGGTCTCGACAGTAGCTCGGGAACATTTCCGATCTGCATATGCGTTATGTATCATCCTTTCACCGTGTGCTCAACAAATAATTTTGATAATGCTGTTAGCGAGTTTTTTCACAAATAGTGCATTAATTTGATCTCTCAAATACTGCAAAAGCTTTAGTTTGCGTGCGCTTAGATCGGAAGTGTTCTCCCGGCATGACCGTAGCGTAGCACAATGTAACGTAACAATGTGTGTTCTTGCATCGTAACCGGTCACGTGCGGTTGCGATGAAGTCCGTCGCACTCGAACTCAAATGTGTGAGCCAGTCCTAACGGCACCAGAAGGCTGCAAAAATATGTACAGGGTGCCCCCTCCCCATAAAAACATAAACTATGCATCTTCGAATGCTTGTTTTCTGCCCAAGTGTGGCACGCCAAATTTTCAAAACTAGCCGTCGTCTCGGCCCGAAGTTTAATGTTTTTCGCCAGTTTTAGGTGAATGACGCCGTTTGGCTCCATTGGGTATTTGAGAACTCCGTTGGCCGTCATTTTCCCATTAAAACTTTCGGAAAATCCCTCGTAACTCTTCAATGAAATAACGGTTAGTTAAGAAACTTTGGCATCTGGCTCCACACAAACGTAGCGCGTTTGTGCGGAGAATGAGCATTCCGCGATGCATAGTTTACTTTTGCAGGGAAAAAATACCCCACAAATTTTGGGGGAGGGGGTGGAGAGAGACACCTTGTATTTTGTTAGACTTTTGCATGCTTCTCCTGTTTTAAATGGAGCTTTTTGGTGTGTTCCCATAAAGAAACATTTTATGTGCAATGCAGGTTTTAAAGGCATCCGCATTCGTGCAGCCACAGTCTAACACGACTCTTCTCCCGACCTTTCCCGTCAGGTGTCCAAATTGGAGAAGGCACTTTTGACAGCCGAGAGCAGCCAGCGGGACCGCTTCGCCAAGGAGGTGCAGTTGCAGCGCGACTACGAAAAGCTCCTCTCCGACAAGGTACTGGCCTCTTCCTTGTGGTTTCACGCTTTCTCCAGTGGTCGTTGTCACTTGCCTACCTTGAACTGGCTACGAGAGAAAAATCATGCAACTTTGTACGATGCCTACCACTCGTAAATGTTGTTCTGCAAAAAGAAGCCGGCAATGTATAAAACACGGTCAGATTTACAGGTGCCACACGGAACTTGCAGTTCGGTTTTATTTATCGGTACATGAAAGTGCGCCAGTTTGGGGCTCGTGGTGGCTTCAGGCTTCGGTCAGTTTACGTCTGCTTGGCAAAGGGTTGCACGAGTGGACGTGGCATGGCATCCTCGAATTGCAGTTACATTTTACTTCTTGCCCGTGCCGGGGTGCGATACAATCCATGTAAGGTGAAAAGAAGGCAGCACGTTCTCCACATTCTCGAGACTACTTTGGATCATGGCACCTGCCATCCATTCCCCAGATTATTTAAGGCGGCCAAGCAGCGTATTCCCAGATAGGGAAATGGGGAAATTCCCGAGCAGATCTCGAGTTGTCCGAGCATTTTGGCAAAGAGCAGTCAAATCCTGGGGAAACTGGAGACACTTTGCTTGGCCACACGCTTTTTCTAGTGCGTATCTGGGGACATTTGGATAAGTTGGTTAACCTGCTCAATGTAGTCGGGGAAAGCACAGCGACCTGTATTTATCTGGCATCGACGGCCTACCGTAACCCGTTGTGGGTTAAGAATTGCGGGACAAGATACTTCCACAAAGCTATCCACTCTTTCAACTTTAGCAGAGCAAACACTGGTGGCGAGGCAGGTGGGGAGGAGGAATTCATCAGTCATGACGAGCGGAAAGCATGTTGCAATGGGTTCATCCTGCCACTTTAAACCTGCGACAGGCCATAGGCTTCCGACGCAGGACGGGCTAGAAACGTTTCGCACCTTAGCCAACGACGATTCACCAAGCGCATCGTCCGTTCGCCGAAGGTGGAGATGCTGAAGGACCTCCACGAAGCACTGCAGCAGAAGCACAAGTTCAGCGAGGAGCTCCAAAAGACGCGGAGCCGCCTGGCAGACTGTGAGGAGGCGCTAAGGCGGTCGGAGCGGCAGCACGGTGTGCAGGCTCACCACGACGAAGTTGAGGCGCTCTACCGGAGGGCCAAGGCACGCTTCGAGCTCCAGCGGCTCGAAGCGTCGACGGCCCCGTCTGCTCCGTCGTCGGCGGTGACGTCCGGCCAGGGCACTTCTCGTCCGGGCACCGCCACAGAGTGAGTCCCGGCGGCGTCGGCGCGTCCTTTAGTCGCCAAAGCGGTGAGGAGGGAGCTTCAGTTGTCTGCCTTCAGCGTGGGTTTCTTACCTCCGACAATGCTTCAGCGTCTCGTGCACTTTGAGCACGCGCGCGCAGCCATTGCACGGCTGAAAGCAACACCCTGCGTTTCTCACTCTGCCAATGGCTTTAGACGTGCATCGCCGTACGCAATACTACGTCGAGGCTCAAATTTGGAGTGCGGCTGTTTTCACAGCAAGAGGTTAGCGTATCTCGCAAGAACGCAACTAGAGTTTTCGCTGTAGGGCCAAACCTGAATGTAACATACTGCAGGTTCTTAAAACATTGAATTTGTTGCACTGCCCCTTCGAAATTCATTCCTCGAGCTTTCACACGTACAGCTCCTGCGCAGCACCGAGCGGGTAGCTCTCTCGGAATGAGGTTGTCACGAAAGAGGCTATTATAAAAAGATTTTTTATGACTTGAAAACATTTTGCGCGAATTAGAGATATGCACCACTATTGGTGTCTTATGTAAAACGGGGGGCGGTGCTTTTGTGTACTATGCAGGTCTGTCTGACTAGATGTGAAACGCCTTATGTTATCTAGATGAGCCCCATTGTTAAAAACGCTCCATCAAAAACCTATAGCTTGTGTACGTTATGTTGTTTGTAGAAGGCAGTTGACTGACCTCGGAGCTTAGGTGCCTCTGGAAGCTTGGATTTTCTTGAAACTGGATAAGCTAACTGTGCACCTCATACACCTGTCATGGTTAAGACAGCCGAGGCGCGAGCAGCAATTGTCACACGGAGTAGTTCTGTGTCGAAGGGAATTCTCAGTGCTGTCGACTTGGGTTTAGCTTAGCTCCAGCTTTGATTTCTATGTGAAATTTGTAAACTACTTGTCATTTCTAGCAGACCTGCAGGTGTTTGGGGACAAATAAGTTTGCTAGAGGGGCACGAAGCGATTTTCCAGATTGTCTTTTTAGGGCAGAAACTCGGCCTAAGTGCCCCAAGCATCCTAGAAATTCTAACATTGGTACCATCATGCATGGCTTTTTTTGCTTATTAGAGATGCAATCGGACGGCCGCAAGTATCCCTTTTCTGATATACATCTCGGAAAAAGGAGGACATGCAATGTTTTGGTTGCATTTTTAATACGAAAAAAAGTCGTGCACGATTGTAATTTTTCATTTTTCTAGGACACTTAGGTTGAGTTAACACAGTGATTCCGTATCACCATAAAAAGAGTAAACTCAAGATCCACTTTAGTTTCCCTTTGAGGTTATTCGTTTGCAGCGAAACAAACGGGAACAAGGTATGTCACTTCAAAATACACTTTTGGCTGCTTTCTAAGTGACGCGGCTAATTATGTCACCGTTATTAGTTTCATGATTACGTCGCCAGAACCAAAATTGGAAGCGACTGTCGCTTCAGGGTCCCATCACCGCCGGTGGTCGTGGCACCATTGTCGTCACCAAAGGACCACGAATCTCCGACCACACCGACAAATTCCCTCGGCGACAAAGGGGACGCCGTTTCCGAGGCCGATCCGCCGCAGCCGCCGGCGACGGAGACGACGCCGACGTCGCCAAACCACCAGTCGGTCGAAGAGTCGTGGATCGAGCACGTCCGCCGCCTCATGTCCGAGCGAGACATGCTGCTGCGGTCAAACGTCTACACGAGCCAAGACCGGATCATCGTCGAGCTGAACCGGCGCATCGCCGACACGATGGCCAAGCATCTCTGAATGGAACTGCAGGACGCGACACCCCTTCCATGCCGTGTGTACTCGTTTGTTGAAATTTTTGTGGAGCTTTTAGGATATTTTTTATGTTTTTAAAGTTTTGAAGTTTTACCTTTTTGACGGTATTGTACAGTCTATACTTTTTATAGCGTGAGTGGGCTTGCTTTCTCAGGTGCTAATAGTAGTTTGGCAAGCTTTGTTGCCTTTTTTTGCAAGCATCGAAGGCAATCCAAGCTTAGTTCAAAACAAAAGGTGATTCAACCCAATACTAAAAGCAGAAGCCCTCTGTTTTTTGTGCGCTCCCTGCTTTCTAGTGGGTTGTTGGAGGCACCTCTGGTATGCGTGCATTATATATTTTCATTGGATAAGTATGAGTCATTGTGAATATCATTTATCTAAATCATTGAGGTGGTCTCCCTAGGCTAACAGATGCATTAAACAGATGACTTTGAACAATAGAAATGTCTGCAATGCAGAGATTTTTTAAAATTATTTTAGCATTTGCTGCAGTTATGCACATAGTTCTTTTTGTAGAGTTCAATTGCCAATCGACATTGTTTTGGGTGGTAAAATTTACAGCACTTGGTAAGTATATTTGGTGCTATGTTCAACAACTTGTTTAAGAATCCTCTGACTTAAAACTGCACTTAAAAAGATACTGACAGGGTATTTATGCTCGCCAAAGTTTTTATTTGTATACGACATATGAGAGCCCAACTACCGAGAAAACAATGTGCGGCTCGAAATTCGTTTTCTTTCTGCCCGAAAACCACTGATCGAGAACTGGCTAGTTTGAGTGGCGCTCACTCTCTTCCCCGTGGTCACGTGCCGTTTTCTATGGTTTAGACACAACCACCAAATATAAGGTCGGGGTTCATCGAAGGCACAGATACAATATTAAAAATAGAAAATGAGTATGATACCCATATTTTGTGGCTTCTAGAAAGCTACAGATACGTTGATTGGGAGAAAAAAAAGTATTGCAGCCACCTGACTTCCGCCAACTTTCTCCTCCTTCATATTTCTTCTTCCTCCCCAGTCCAGTTTCGATTTCGGGCAGTTGTGTTGTTTTACTTTATTAAAAATATGCATGACGCTCTAGCAAAATATTGATGGGGTGCCCTTCTGACAACCAAAACAAGTCGCCTGGCAAAATATAAAAAATAAATTTTTGGGGGTGTCGGTGTCTCTTTAGACGGAAGCCAAATTTCTTCACCTATACATGTTATGCTATAAGGAAGCTTTTGCAAGTATTCACGTCAGTCTGCTCTTATTTATATACATCTGCCCATCATTCAAAACAGCCTTTATTGAATACAAGTTTTGTATATTGCCTTCAAATGTTGTTACCTATCACTAAAAAATAATATTTCACTTATTGTGGTCTCTGTTCTCCTCTGTAAGAACACAACTCGATTGCGTTTCTGAGCAATGTATTTCTAGTTTATTGTCCATAACTATGTGTGTAATGAGTTTGATTGTTTGTGGCATGCAGCATTGCATGTTGTCCTGATGAGTGCCTTACAGTCCGGTTCTGGCTATATCCACACCGCATTTGATGCAGTACATAAATGTTTTTCATACCTATACTATCATCCCTCTGTGTACATATAACTGACATCAAACTTGCGTGTCTTGATGGCATTTCGACTGTATATGTGATACTTTTTTACTTTTTTATTGCTGATGTGGGCAAGGGATAGCATTAGAGATGGAGCTGAACTCAAAGTAATTGTGCTACTATAATACTTCTTACATGCTCAATAAATTATCTTTTTAGAACTACCTTGTCATCAAAGTGCTAGCGTGGTTACAGCCAGTGGTGTCACAAGGGTCGGCGGCACCCGCGATGGTGGCCCGCTGCGACCCTCCCCCCTTCCTTGTGACACCCACCATTAGTTGCAGCTGTGGTCTTCTGTTTTGCCCGCTGTTTGGCCAAATGCTTTTTGACATTCATGCATTAGCTCTTTCACAATCTTGACCTATTTCAATTCATATGTCACAATATCACATGATGTTGTCTGGCATCAAGATGTCACGTGACCTCACCATCATGTGATGTCACAGTTTCATGTGGCCCCATGACTTCATGTGACATGATGTTGCATGACGTCATGGTGTCACATGATGTCGTAATGTTTCATGTCACCCAGACTCGACGCCGAGTCACGTGATATCGCGGTGCCATATGACATCAGAGCGTCGCATGATGTCAGTTTCACGTGACGACCTGACGTCAAGCTTATATGACCTTGGCCTGTGTGTCAGTCAAGTGTAACCTGTCGTTCTTGCGAAACCCAGTCCCATAACATATTTTGAATTAACAAATATACACAGGCATTAGAACACAATCTTTATCATGTGCTTCAATCCTAAACTGACGTTGCATTGCGTTGCCAAGTTTGTGACTATGAGGGAATCCGTCTTGAACTTGTAGACGTAGCTGTCCTTGTTAACGGAACAGTTGTTAGCTCTTACGCTGGTCGGTGCCTTGTGGATGCCGAGGCCGAGAATGACCAGTTTCTCCACGCCGACGTTGACTTCTGCATTTGGTGTGGACTGCGGCTTGGGAAGGATTTCCAAGGCATATGTCTTCTCGGGATTTTTTGTGGTATAGAGTTCTTTTCGGAACAATATTTTTGCCGTGAAGCCTGTTTTCATGGAGACTCCGTCATCGATGTAGACCAAGCCTGTGAAGAGCGTAGAAGCAATTATGAGTAGGGTCCCGTATCTCTTTCATACCGGGTGTTTCAGCGAAGACCTTCAAAAACTTCTACCAGTAGGCTGGTTGAGGAAAAAATAAACTTTTTGGGAACAAACTACCAGCCACGGCAGATGTCAAAGATTGCGAAAAACATATTAGTTACATAGCTAAATAATAACCACAAATTTACTAATTATTTTTAGTTAGTGAGTATGAACATATGGTTCCATCTAGAACTTGCTGCAGCAAGAACAAGGTTTGCGATGCGAAAGCGCGGATAACAAGAATATATCATCCGTGTTTTTGCATTGCCAGCCTTGCGCCTGCTGCACGACTGGTAACTTCAGCACACCCCCCACGCTTCACATATGCTCTAAGCAGGCACGTAGCCAGGATTTTGTTTCGGGGGGGGGGGCACGCCCATGACAAAATGCTGTATGAGAGGGGGAGAGGAGGTCCTAGCAAAACGGAAGATTTCGGGGGGGGGGGGGGGGGGGGGGGGGGGCCGGGGGCCCTCCCCCCTTGGCTACGTGCCTGGCTCTAAGTCCTAAAATCGACCGATTGAGGGGTTTCCAATGCTGCTCAGCAACTTTCTAATAGGAACCGTATGTTTATTTTCTCTAATTGAACACTTATATAGTAAAGTTTGGTTAATTATTTAGCTAATTAGTGTGCTTTTTCTGCAAGCTCTGTTGTCCACTTTGGCAGGCCGTTAGTTCCCGAAAAGAGTTCCTTTTTTTTTTCAACCACCCTATTGGTGGTTGGAAAAAAAACACTCCATTTGAAAGACTTTGCCGAAACACCCGGTACGCCAATCAACTCCCAAGATTAAACCCCAAACTGGTTTTATGGAAATTGGGGGGAAAAGAAAAAACACCTGAATTGCAGCTGCCCTTAATTTAGAAAAGCCCAAGCCTCGTGGGAAGGAAGTCTATCTACAGCATTACATAGCCTCCAGGCTACGGTCAGGAATGCAGCCCCCACTAAACTGTCCACCGGGATGCTTTTCTGTTCAGAACCACACCTCTTATCTGGTATCCTTCCCTTGTCAGTACCCACCTCAAGAACCGTAGTAAAATAAGTCCGGTTCCTCTTGGAGCATTACTTATCTCTCTCTTTATGTAGATATTTAATATGTATGGAAATGCCTACTTCGTTCAAGCACTCACTATTAACATTTCCCAAACTTGGGAATTCTGCAAATTAAGCACCCGATTTGTCCGGACAAGCGCTCATGTCTAGATTAACCCAGATTTCAGTGAAAGGGGAGTGGGTGCTCCCCTGGTATTTTACGGTAGGTGCCTTTTAGTGAGAAACACCAAAACCATAGTTTCTTCCTCCGATAACCAAATCCGGTAAGAACTACATCGCGCAATAGATAAACAAGGTGCACAACTTTTTTTTTTTTTTTATTGAGGTGAAATTGAGTATAGGGTCTTGAGCACAAGTCCTAATAAACGCCGATGTTATGTTTGACACCAGAAACAACTAACACCGAATCTGCGAGTGAAAATAAATCCCAAAATAAACGCCCCCAAATTCGAAGGGAAATAATCGCAGAAAATATTAAACTCTAGTTACGGGTAGGGTTCTGCATTTTGGGGATTTGTTTTTCTTTCAATTTGTATTTGCAATTTCAAGTGTATTGGCGGCATGCTCGAACTCCAGGGGGCGCTTCTCTGGCTGTCATCATTATTGTTTGTGATGTCACGGGTAGGACAGACTGGGACAGAACACGCAGATCTTCAATCACTCTGCTCGTCAGCTCGCTTCGTGCACTATTTGGGTTACACGCGGCAAAGCCTGTTTCACGCGTTGTGTTTTTTTTTGTTCTTTTTGTGAAGTTTGTAGTAGGACATTTTACCAAACATTGAAACTGTGGCACGTGTAGTCGTGCTAAGAAACACGTTTGGCGCCAAGGTGTCGAAGCGCTCGGATGGTGGTGTGCTGTTCTCTACCCAGTACAAAAAAGCTGAATGATGAAAATAAGATATCCAGCGCTTTACCCCGCTGCATCACCTAACAAAACAAATAGATTTTTTTTTTAATGATTCGGACAAAATCTGAGAAAGGAATGTTTTATCAAATTTAAAATGGGAAAGTGAAATTTTAAAACCTCTCGCGTCTGTAGTAAGCACTTCAGTGATAGCGACTCCGTGTATTATGTTGGTTCCAATGTGTTTTGTGAGTGCTAATCTCTTATTAGTTCCAAGTTGATTCCTTTTTTTGAATTTTGAAAACCAGTACAAAAACATTTTCTCAAAATAACTAGCAGGAAGAACTGGTGGCTGGCTTCCGGAGTCGTTTAAACTAAATCCTTTTTTATTTACCCGGTCGACGCAAAACGTGCGAGACGTCCTCGCGATCGAATTCTTAATTCTTTTAAGTCAGTGACACTTCAGCATCCCAAAAAATGAGGTGTACATTTGCTATGAATTACTACCGATTGTATGTTTCATTTTGCGGACCCAAATGCGTATAATCGTGATGCGCTTCTCAGCGAGCGATTTTAAATTTGTAAACAGTTCTTAGTAAAAAAATGGATAGAATAAATTAACAAATCGCCTGAATTTGCCGGGCAATGCCCGACAACTTAATTTATGAACATTTCTGCTTTTCTTTTGAGCGGAAGTCGCAATGTAACAAACTTCTTTACCACTTATTTGATTCGGGAGCAACTAAGCGTCACTTGCTGATGAGCATTTGCTCTGCAGCAACTCTTGAGTCGCACTGGGATAGAAACGTCGGTATCGGCAAGTTCAATGTACCTAAAACTAGTGTGCCGCGCTTTGCAACACAACTGTGCGTACGTGCACAGCTAAGACAGCACGTCATTTACTCTGGTGAATGCAAAACCTTTTTCTACAGCAGCCTCCACAGATTCGAAGAAACAAGAATCAGATCTTGGTATGTGAACGCAAAAAAAAAAAAGACGAGGGACAGACAAAATCCTGTCGGACACAAACGAGTTTTTTGTGTGTCCCTTGTCTTCTTTTACGTTTGCATACCAAGATGTTTACCCAACACGCTCTCCTAATTCTATCCAAGAATCGGAGGCTGTGAATAGCCCTGACGCACGCTGCGCAAGCTGTAATGTGAAACTCCAAACTTGTTTTTTAACATTTCAAAGATTTTTTTTACTATAAAAAGCAACTTTTAGGCGCTGTTATTCATTAGAAAGATTAGACACAAAAACGTCATACACGTTTCTTTAATAAATAGACATTTCCTAATCGGCATCCATGCAAACTAACGCAGCCACTCCGTGCTTTGACATAGCGCATTGTAGCGCATCGTCTGCTCGCATCCTACCGGCTCCGTCGCAGGAAGGTGCACGCGAGGTGGCACCACTAAAACATCTCGTCACCAATGGCCCGAATACTTAGAGAATTGCCAACACGATAAGAAAACGAGATAAGATGTGTGGTTCGCAAGGAAAAGAAGCCTTGCAGCCACTTCATTGGGGGCTGTTTTCTTGGTAAATATGAGATAAAACTATAGTATATACAGGCTTTTCTTTCTTGCAAAGCAAAGGTTTTTCTTATTCAAGGACATCTCCAATTTGGGGGTTTTCTGATTTCCCAGGTTTCGATCAAACCGGTGGGGGAATAGTTAAAACCTGCCATGCATTAACATCACATTAGTAAACATGTGAGCAGTGGCCCAACATGAGCGTTCCGTCAGACGAGAACCGCATTCCAAGCGACACCTAAAGGGGGCGTACTGATCCAACTGATGTTCCTGCCAAATGATTGCTGGGAGCCGCAGCGTGGCACCACTGTCTCGACGCACGCTTCCCATTATCACTGCAGCCAATCAGATTGCGGTATTACTCATAATGAACGCTGAAGGATGAATCTGGCAGTGAGAAATGAACAAAATAAACCACGCCTTGCCGTTCTTACTTCGCCAGTGAGAACGGCAGCCTTATGATGTTCATGCTTCTCGCTTCTATGAACACGGGCGCCTAGTTCAAATAAACAAAACCTTAGGGCCGGCTCTGACTGCCAACATTGAAAACATGACTGCCTGGTGATAGTTAGAAACATGGCTGCCTGATAATAGAACCACGACTGCCTGGTTATAGAAAAATGCAGACGGGGAGCGAATCGGCTTAGAAGGGTGAGGGGATAAAGCATACTTTTGGTTTCTAGGCTAGGTGGTGCAAGCTACGCCCGTTACAAAGGATACAGTCATTAGCATTCATCCATCCATCCATGTAATTTTGTGCCAAATTTGAGCAGTGAAGCGGGTTCTTGAAGGGGTACAACAAGTTTGATGGCGTGTAAGGAATGCTGGGGAAGCTTGCTCCAGCTGAACGAAAGAGAATGTGCGACATGCTGTGATTTTTAAAAGGGTACGGAAACGAAATTCGAGCGCTCATTTTTTAGCTTTAACGTGTTTCATGTTGCAGCATAACATCAAAAATGCCAGTCTTTCGTTGAAAGGCACAAGAAAACTAATTTCAAAGCTAATTAAACGATCTTTCAATGTGCACCTGGTGGATTCATGTGGAGCCTTTTGGGAAGTAATCTTGCAACGTAGGGGAACTTGCTACGTAGACGTGGCAAGTTTCATCTGAGCAGCGCCGCTCTTTGGAATTCAACATTTCCCCTTAACTTTCCTCAACTCACAAATCGTGCATTGTACCAAACAGTTCAAGAAGACAGAAAGGAGGGACTTCCCTCTTCCTCAGAACCTCGTTCGTCTGCCCGGACACAGCCATGCTCCCCCTAGAAGATTAGCCCGTCGCTCAAAATTCGGAAAAGAAAAGTTGCTTTTCCCACCTCGTTTAAGCTGACAGTGAATGAATTTGGAGTTTTCTGGCGCAGGCAGCAACATAAGCCATAGTGCGCCAAACACACTTAAGCTGACAGTGCTGTGGAAGCTGCGTGCTCCTTGGGTCAGCTTAGAGCACTATATAGTGCTCTAGGTCAGCTACACGCTCGTCACCGTACGGGCACTTTGAACCCGTGGGGTTCAACG